TACCACTCACGGAGCTGCTGAGGGGGGGGGATGTCACGAGTGCGCTGCTGCCGCTGCTGCTGCTGCTGCTGCTGGCGCTGACCACCACCGGAGCCGACCCTCTGCGCAGCGCCACCCCGACCAGCTCCACCTCCTCCGCCGCCGCCTCCTCCACCGCCGCCACCTCCGCCACCTCCGCTCCCACCGCCACCGCCGCCGCCGCCTCCGCCTCCACTGCCGCCACCGACACCACCACCCCCGCCACCACTCCCACCACCACCCCCACCCCCTCCACTGCCTCCACCGCCACCTCCGCCACCCCCGCCAACCCCTCCAGCACCCTTGCCCCCCTTGCCCTTGCCGGTGCGGCGTCTCCCGCTCGGGGCAGACGCAGCGCCGACCGACTCGAAACCAACGAGGTCGGCCGCAGCAGCAGAGGCAACAGAGGGCAAAAGGGGGGAGGGGGAACACCCCTCAAAGACGGGGGTGCGAGGGTCACCACGAGAGGCTCCTACAGCGACTATGCTCTTCTCTGCTGCTAGGAGGGCCTTCTCGAGGAGGTCAACGGTGAGAGTGGTGGGGCAAACTGAGAGGAAGTGGTCCCTGACTACGCGAAGGGAGTCAGGGAGCCGGGTGACTATGTAGTAGAGGGTGATGTACATGGGGGGGGGGTTCTTGGCGCAGAATTCAGCAGGAAGCGCAGCGCGGTAGCGAGTGTCACTAGTGCGGAGGTGCGTAATGAGGTCAGCGACTGTGGGAAAGGCAGCAAGGTCAGGGAAGAGGTACGGTAGCATGAGGCGGCTCAGTGCAGCAGTGGCAGGGGAGGAGTAGCGCGCAACTACAGCGTCGTACAAGGTGTGAGCACTCTTGTACTGGCTAAAGTGCGCACGCTCAGAGGTAGGCAGGTGGCGACGCACAGCAAGACGTGCAGCAGCATCGCGTGTGGCCCACTGTGAGCGAACAGTGGCGTCGGCATCAGCAGCAGGGGCAGGAGAGGCACCAGAGGTGAGGTCAAAGAGGGAGAGACCGTCTGCCCTATCGCACTGTAGGAAAAACTGCAGGTCATCTACCCAGACGTCAAAGTCAATGGCCCGACCCTCAGCGTCAAAAGCGAGGACACTAGGGGTAGCCATGACAGCAGTAGACTAGCAGCGCGAACAGTAGGGTAAGGGCAGTGCAGTGACAGAGGCGCTGCTCTTACCGGACAGGGCGGCTCGGGCGGCTCGGCGGCTCGGCGGGTCGGCAACTCGGCGGCTCGGGCGGCTCGGGCGGCTCGGCGGTACGGCGGCTCGGCTGCAACTGCGGCTCGGCGACTCGGCGACTCGGGCGGCTCGGGCGGCTCGGCGGTACGGCGACTCGGCAGCAACTGCAGCTCGGCGGCTCGGCGACCCGGCGGCTCGGGCGGCTCAGGTGGCGCGGCGGCTCGGGCGGCTCGGGTGGATCGGGCGGCTCGGCAGTAGCTCGGCGGCGCCGGCGGCTCGGTGGTGACGGCGGGGCCGCGTGGGGACGGCGGCGGGGCCGGGTGGAGCGGCGGCGAGGCCGGGTGGAGCGGCGTCGGGGCCGGGTGGAGCGGCGTCGGGGCCAGTAGAGGCGGCGCCGGGGCCGGGAAGGGCAGCTCCGGGGCAGCAGGGGTAGGCGACGGGGCCAGCAGAGGCGGCGCCGAGGCAGGGAAGGGCGGCGCCGGGGCCGCAGGGGTAGGCGACGGGGCCGCGAGGGCGGCTAGGAGGGGGGGGGGGGGTCGCGAGGGCGGCTTGAAGAGGCCGCGAGGGCGGCTAGAAAGGGCCGCGAGGGCGGCGTGAAAGGGCCGCGAGGGCGGCGCGACACGAAGGAGCCGCGAGGGCGGCGGATCGGGGCCGCGAGGGCGGCGCGACGCGGCCGCTAGGGCGGCGCGACATGAAGGGGCCGCAAGGGCGACGCGACGGGGCCGCAAGCGCGACGCGACGGGGCCGCTAAGGCGGCGCGACAGGGTCGAGAGAGGGGAGCGCGACTCGGGCAGTGGAGAGCGCGCTCCGGGCAGGAAAAAAAAGGTGGTGGGCCCTAGGAACAGTTCCCACAGGGGAACCTGCTCGATACCATGAGAAACTGAACGAGAATGAATTGACTAAGGGAAAGTTGGGTACAAATGCAAACCCTAGAAAACTGTACCCCATATGTGCTACCCCACTATAGCCTACAGTAGCTATGTCATATAAATCTGACATCACTTACCAACCAGACGACCTGGTATTACTCGACACTCAAAATCTCCGCCTGCCCATCACCCCAAAACTCCGCCCCCGATATTGCGGGCCATTTCGCATCAGCCACATGATCACACCCGTCACCGCCCACCTCCTCCTCCCTGCTGACTGGTACGTCAGCTCGTCATTCCATGTCAGCCTGCTTCGCCCATATGTACCATCGACCAGCCAACTGCCTCGCAACCGCCCCGCCAGCATGACACGACCACCGACAGAGCCAATCATCACGCCCGAAAAAATAATGAGCCACCGAGTACGTGACCCACGGGGAGCCCGCAAGATCGAATTCCTAATCCGCTGGAAAGACCGCACGCCCACTGAAGACAACTGGGTTCCCCTGGATAGAATTGAGAATCACCCTGTCCTGACTGAGTATCTGCGTAGCCGAAACTTTCGAGATGTACGGTACACGCGCTCTCGTAAGAAGGGCCTTCTTGGGGAGGGGGGTAGTGTAAGGAAAATTCATTTTCCTTACTTCGCGTCCCTGCTTACCGCGTACATGCCCGTTCCCGCCATCGGCACCCATCCGTGAACGTTACCCGCTTGCGACATTCGCCTCGACCACGACTCCCGCCACCGTTCACAATGCGACCCAACCTCACGGTTCGGTTGGTAACCCGCGCTCCGGACCTCCGCCTCGACAATTCCCAACCTCGGCGCTAGGCCCGTAGTGTTAGAATATACAAATATATTCTTTATAACTGTCTGTAGTGTAGACTGTAGTGTATCTCACTTGCTCTAGGTGGTGCACACAATTGCCTTCTCCTAGCCTATATCTTGTATCCCTTTTCTCATATTGAATCCTCTTTGGCCTTCTCAACCCTCTCGATACCATCGCCATGCTCTCCCTTAGCTCCAAACCTCCTATCATCCTAAGTTCCTACTTTAACACGTAGCGCACCCCAATTTCCCGCATTACCGTTACCACGCTAGCTTCGCTATATAACTTCGCTCATGCTTTTCGCTCAACTGTATTGTTTTGCTTCGATAGTGCAATTCTCGCTCGCTCACTCAATTGCACTCGTAACACATCTAGTATTATGAAGCTATATGGATTACTTTATTTCTGGAGACTGTACAGTGTAGCCTTGTGTGGATGAGGTGAACTTAGCGAAGCGCGAGCTCATGGTGTTACGATGCCTGTGTCCGCACCACATTTCGAAGCCACGTAGGTAGTGACGTGTCGTGCTCTTTTTCCTGAATCTCCGCTCTCTGGTGGTGGCTGCATATTTTCACCCTGAAGTTTATGTGCCCAGCGTTGCAGTGGACCGCGTCCGCTCCGCACTCAATCAAGCTGTGTGCTGAGGTTTGAACACCACCCAAACATGCCCAAGAATGTTCACAAAACAACCATGTGTAAACTCTAATTCCACTGCTGCTTTGCTAAGTGGGCTGAAAAACAACCAACTGTATGAATAACCACCTATTTTTGAAACACTCCCCCAATCAACGGAAGCCCGATGATGCTGGATTGGAACTGACCCAAATTCGGCAAGCTTCAATGAACCTTCCCCAATGACGTCCCCTTCCCAGTGCACTGTACACGTAACGGAAGAGATATCCCCGAGAGAGATCATCCCCTTGGGAGCACCACCTCGAGATCATCCCTCCCTTTCCCCCTTTGCTCCTCAATGCTCGAAGCTCCCTCAGGCTCATCAATGGTCAAACACACTCGTACACTAATATTTTCGCACACACTCGTCACAACCTGACCAGCACCAGCAGCAGTACCACCACCATTATTTTCGCTCGGCTTAGCTTGTTCTTCACCACAGAAGCAACAGACAGCCTACACCCCGACCGAGAGCTTGTGCCCTCTCTACATTTCGCGTCCCGCGCTGGCAGGATCCATGTTACTAGACACGTACTGAAGGTACGGAATGGGACCTGCGAAATGTGATCGTGTTTGCCAAGATGCCTGTTTTTCCTTTTTCCTTTCGCCGTTCGGAAAGCTACAATCTTTCAAGGGTAATGACCGTTGCATTGCACATAGTACGCTAGAAAATCCGCGCTGCATTGCTGCTCCGGCAGTGAAACTCGGTATTCCAGCTGCAGATGCTCTCGCCTCCTTCGCCTCTCCCGTTTCTCTACCGTATCCTCGTCCTCTCCCTTTCCAGTCCCTCCACCGTCCCTGTCCCTTCCATGCTCATACTTGCCTGTAAAACCACGTGTCTTAGCATTGAGAGCATACTGATACGGGGCGCCATTGCAGTTGACAGCGAAACCGATCAGTCGACGTGCACCCGTGCATTTACCTACCATTGTGCCCCCTATCTTGCCCCATTTCCCCTCCCGCGCCGCCACTTCCCATCCCATCCCACCTCCTACAGGCTATCCCCAGCCGCCGCTTCTCGATCCCCTCGCGTTTGACGAATGTCTTGACGGATATCTATACTCTGTTAGAAACAGCACTTGCGGAAGCGGGGAAACGGGAAAGCTGTGATACGGTAAAACGCCGACAGATAGTTGCGCAGCGCTTCTGATCGCCGCAGTCAGGCGCGGCCCGTCCGACGAACCGTCAATATCTGGCAGTTGCGGACGAGGCGCCAGGGCCTGACACGTGACACCTGGTTGACTGATACGGTTGATCCAGCTGAGCCAACAGGATCAACCTATCCACCTGGATTTTAGTACCTCACGAGGAATATCGTCATCTAGTACTGTTATCGTTCCCAGCATCTGCCGGCTATTTTCCTCGCAACTGCCTTCTGGAACGTGATTGGCTTGACTTTTGCTGCGTCGGCACTCCTCGTCGTGCGGCTATTGGATCTCCTGGGGACAATGTCGTCCGTAACAAAGAGGCCTTCCGTTCACGTCCCTCCCCTCCTCTCCTCGCTCACGCCTGCTCCATCATCTGCCGCTTCTGCGGCCAACACCGATCCGACGGCTCACATTGATCCTCTTACCAGCAGCGCGGATATTTCCGCGCCCAACGCGTGCGCCGGCGCGGGCGCACGGGAGAGGGCGGGGGGGGTGGAAGAGCTCGCGGAACGCGAAGACAAAGCGGGGGCGCGAGAGCGAAGCGAGGAGGGGAGAGGCGGGGATGTGGGGGAAAGCGAAGGGGAAGGGGAAGGGGAAGGGGATGGAAAAGCATGGGGAGATGGTGTTGCCGAAGCGATGGATGGACTGGTTCCAGGATCTGTAGACGCTGCAGAAGCAGCAGAGGAGGCGATGGCAGGGGAGGCATGGGGAACAGCGAGCGGCGAGGGAGGGCGGGAGCAGAGGTTGCAGGCGGGGAAAGGAGAGGGAAGTGGGAGAAGTGGCGCTATTTTTCTGGACGGGACTATGAGTGTCACGGATCTACTGTGCGATGTTTCATTCCAGGTATGTCTGGTGCGCTGTGCCGTGTTGTGTTGTGTTGAGTTGTGCTGTGCTGCGCTGCTCTGGTGTGGTTTAGCGTTGTGTTTTGTCCCATGGTGTGTGTGCTCAGCACGTTATCGCATACCAAGAGCACCGACCTACGCCTTCACCCCCCTTTTCCCCCCCTCCCTTTTGTGTCGTCCCAGCAGTGTCCCCATCTTACTCCCTCACTCCATCTTTTGTTTCCCCCTCACCCCTCGTGTACCACCTCACAATGCTCCGCTTTACTACTCACCTCTCCCCTCTCCTTCCCATTTATCACTCCCTCTTCCAGCTTCTCATCCCGCATCCCACGCCATTTCGTCTCTCCTCTTTGTCCGATCCCCTCCTTCTCCAACACCCCCCCACACACGCCCCACCTACCACCACCCACCCCCTCTCACATCACACATCACACATCACACATCCCATGTCCCACCTGCCATGGCCCACGTGCCACGTGTCACGTGCGTGTGGAGCAGGTATACGTGGGCGTGCACGTGCTGGCGCTGCTGACGCTGCTCTGCATCCCAGCCACGCCTCGCCTGCTGCTGCTCGCCCTATTCTCCTACGCCCTGCGCATGCTCGGCATCACCGCCGGTTACCACCGCTTGCTCTCCCACAGGTCAGTCTTGAGTCGACTAAAAAATCGCCCTCATCCCAGCCTGCCCTCGCCTCGCCTGCTGCTGCTCGCCCTATTCTCCTACGCCCTGCGCATGCTCGGCATCACTGCTGGTTACCACCACCTTCTCTCACACAGGTCAGTTTTGAGTCCTCATCCCAGCCCAGCCTCGCCTCCCCTGCTGCTGCTCGCCTGCTGCTGCTCGCTTGCTGCTGCTCGCCCTGCTCGCCTATGCTCTCCACATGCTCGGCATCACTGCTGGTTACCACCGCCTTCTCTCACACAGGTCAGTCCGTCCTCCCGACCCAACCATACAATACAGCACGGATACCTGCTTTAGCACCGCTTTCCAACGCTGCTGCTGCCCCTCCTGCTGCTCCTCCCGTGGTGCTGTCACTCTAGTGAAATATCCTCCCTCGTTTTTATCGTTCCCTCTCCCTCACTCACTCATTCCCCACCCACCTGCTCCCGCCCCCATCACTCTCTCCCCCTTGCCCGTTCTCTCAGGTCGTTCAAGACGTCGCGAGCGGGTCAGTTCCTGTTTGCTCTGCTGGGATGCCTTTCTTTCCAGAAGGGGCCGCTCTGGTGGGCGTCGCACCACCGCCACCATCACAGGTAACGCGACACACGCCACACACGCCACACTGGTGTGATTTTTGAGGCGCCTAAAAAATCGTCACAGGTAACACGCCACACGCCACACTGATGTGCCACCACGGTTACCACCACTGCTGTCACCAGCACTGCTTTCGCCAGCACTGCTTTCGCCAGCACTGCTTTCGCCAGCACTGCTTTCGCCAGCACTGCTTTTGCCTGCACTGCTTTCAGCAGCACAGGTAGCACCTCCAGCATGAGTAACGCGCCTAGCACGTGCACAGGTCACAGCTGGTGCACAAGCTTATAGCCTTGGCCGCAGCGCAGGCAGTAAAATAAATTATGCATGCACCCTCACACACCACACCGCGCCCCTGCCTCCCTGCCTCTCTGCCTCCCTGCCTCCCTGCTCCCCTGCCTCCCTGCCCCCCTGCCCCCTTTCCTCCCTGCCCCCGCCACAGGACCGCGGACACAGCAGAGGACGCGCACAGCCCGCTGCACTGGGGCTTCTTCTGGTCGCACATGGGCTGGTGAGCCAGCTCTGGGGAGGGAAGGCAGGGCGGGGAGAGATTATGGGTGTGGGGTGGCGGAGAAACGGGTGGGTTGGGGAAGTTGGGTTGGTGGGGTGCTGGGGAGGTTGGACGTGGGGGATTTGAGGCGTCTAAAGAGTTTGAGATGTCTTTAGGGTGGGGAGGTTGGAGGTGGGGGTTGCGCTAGGGAAGATGAGCAGGAGGCAAGGGAGGGAGCATGTATGGGAGGGACTTGTAGAGATGTTACTTTTGGGTTGAACACGTTGTTTAGTACGGTCTGTATGGGTGCTTGGTCTAACTCGTTCGTTGCTCTCCTCTCCTCTCTCCTTTTGAAACTTTGCCCCTACGTGTGTGTGTGTGTGTGTGTGTGCGTGTGTGGGCTTGTGTTGAGTGTGTGTGAGAGTGTGTTTGTGTGAATGTGCATGAGGGTGTGCATGCGTGTGTGTGTGTGGGTGCGCGCGCGCGTGCGTGTGCATGTGCATGTGCATGTGTGTCTGTGTGCGCGCGCGCGCGCGTGTGCATGTGCATGTGCATGTGTGTCTGTGTGCATATGTGTGCGTGTGCATGTGTGTGTACATGTGTGTGTGCATGCATGGGGTTTGAGCATGGTTGAAACGTGTGCGTGCATTACACGAGCAGGTTTCTGTGCTCCACTCGCCACACTGACGTGCTGTGGCATGCCATCCCTGACCTCTCGCCTTTCCCCGAGCTGCATTGGCTCGACTCGTACGACCCGGCCCCACACCACACGCACATGCACATGCACATGCACATGCACATGCATGCACATGCACATGCACATGCACATGCACGCACACGCACATGCACGCACACGCACATGCACATGCACATGCACGCACACGTACATGCACGCACACGCACATGCACATGCACGCACACGCACACGCACATGCACATGCACGCACACGCACATGCCCATGCACGCACACGCACATGCACATGCACGCACATGCACACGCACATGCACATGCACGCACATGCACACGCACATGCACATGCACGCACACGCACATGCACGCACACGCACATGCACATGCACGCACATGCACATGCACGCACATGCACACACGCACGCACACATGCGCGCGCGCGCACACACACACACACACACACACACACACACACACACACACAGAGCCACGCACACGCACGCACGCACGCACGCACGCACGCAGACACACATCTAAACCTCTCGCTCTCCTTCTCCAACAACCCCAACTCCCGATCCCCAACCCCATCTCTGCTTCTCCCCCCACACCATAGGACAACACAACATATTGCACACCATTTGTTCATCCATGCCTTGCCTTTACTCCCTTAGCCCTTCCCCTTCCTGCCCGTACGCTCCATCTCCCTCATTCTTCATCCAAACCCCCTTTCCTTGAACCAGGTACCACTTCGTGCCACCTCTCTCCCTGGCGGTGCTTCTCTGGGCGACTGGAGGCATAGCTGCCTTTGGCTGGGGCTTCTGCGTGGCTACTGTTGTGTGCTGGCACTTCACGTATGTGTGCTGGCAGTCACGTTTGGGAATTTCCAATAGTGGCATTTGGTGCCTGTGTGTGCATGTGTGGCATAGCCACGTGTAACCCAACTAGCCATCTCTTCCCTCCTGTCCCACCCACATTGAAATCACTTTTGAGAATTCTCATCACTTTTGAGAATTCTCAAAAGTGATTTCAATGTTTTGGTGCCTGTGTGTGCATGTGTGGTATAGCCACGTGTAACCCAACCCAACCAGCCATCTCTTCCCTCCTGTCCCACCCACTCTACCAACCCACACCACACCCCATCAAAGCATATCCACCCCATAACCGCCTTGCCCCCACCTGCTCGCTACTATCACTGTCCCCTCATTCCACGACCCCCCCCTCTCTCGCCAAGTGCTCTCACACATGCATTCCATTTTCCAGCCTACATACCCCATACCCTCTCTCCCACAACAGCCAATCCCTGTTCCCACTCTCCACCCTCATCTCTCCCTTTCACCACTCTCAACCCTCTCCCTCACCACCTTGCTCCCCTCCATCCGATCTTTTCTCTTCTCCTCCAACCAACCCCGCTCTCCATGCCCCCAGCTACTGTATCAATTCAATGGCTCATCTCGTGGGGTCGCGTCGCTTCCGCTGCGAGCTTTGAGTCGACTCAACACATCCCATCCCCTCCCCTCCCCTCCCCACCAACCCCGCTCTCCATGCCCCCAGCTACTGCATCAACTCGTTGGCTCATCTCGTGGGGTCGCGTCGGTTCCGCTGCGAGTTCAACACACACTGCGATGCGCGCAACAACCTTGCGCTTGCACTCGCCACTCTGGGCGAGGGCTGGCACAACAACCACCATGTGAGTGCATGCCTTGTCTGTCTCCTATGTGCTGTTGTTCGTTCAAGCGCTGCCGTCATATGAGACGCCCAATGGACACGATCCATGTCACGATTCATTCAAGCGCTGCTGCTGCTCGCACACATGTGTGAATGTACTGTTCTTGCACTCATGAGTGTGGTGTGGTGTGGTGTGAATATACTTTCAGCTAGCTGCTCGAGTCATCTGCGCCGCTCATCCTTCGTCTCTGCCTTTGCTGTCCGTGCATGTGTGTGTGTGCATGTGCATGCGCGTGTGCGCATATGCGTTATCTGTGTGCATGTGCATGCTCGTGTGTGTATGTGCATGTGCGCAGTGTTACATGCGGTCGGCCAAGCATGGTTTCTACCCAGAAGAGGTGTGTCACAGTGTCCCTTTCCCACTGCATAGATACACGAATCTTACAGCCACTGAAAGACGTCCGACCTGCCTGCTCCATTCCTCCCTTGCTTTCTTTCTTCTCATCTCAGATATCCATGCCTGTAGCATAATCGCTTCTCGGCCTCCCTGCTTGTCTCACTTATCCTCCCCTGTGACTGCCTCGTCAGATTGACATCACATGGTATATCTTGTGCTGTCTGGAGCGACTAGGCCTTGTGTGGGATCTGCACCTACCGCCCCTGGATGAGGTACGTACGAGCCATCCCATCATGAGGCACATATGCAATGCAGTGTCAGTGTCAGTGTTACTGTCAGTGTTAGTGTCAGTGTCAGTGTCAGTGTCAGTGTCAGGGCATAGAGCACACATCGTTGGACCAGGGACAAGCTTTTTTTTTGCCATCTTCTCCTCCCTCTCTCCATGCTTCTCTCCTTGCCCTCACCACCCTCCCTTTCCCTCACCACCCTGCCTTGGCCTCACCTCCCTCCTTGCCCTCACTGCCCTTTTCAGCTGGAAGCGAGGTGGTTTGACAACCGGCACCTGCAGTGCCGCTGCCACAGTGCTGAAAAAGACATGCGTGATACCATCACTTCAAGCACTCTCCTAGCCGCGGATATGTGTGCGGGGACAGATGTGCTGGTGGGTGGTGCATGTGCTCACAGCAAAAACACCCCAGATGGGTGCAGCAAGCCGTGCAGTCGTATGGAGGCGGATCAAGATCAAGGGGATAGTACCAGTATGTGGAGGAAATATTTGAAATGGGACAACGACAGCATCGACCACAGAAGCAGCAGCAGCAGCAGTGGTGGTGGTGATAGTGGTGCGAGAGAGGGAGGGGATGATGCTGCGAGTGAGCTGCTTACAGCAGCAGCAGGTGGCATGACAGCCTCAAATAGTGTGGCATGGCATGGCAACAGGGACAGCGGGTCAAGGTGAAAGGAGAGCGTTGGTGAGACGAGCAGTGTGAGTTGGGTGCATGAAAGGACTCTGCCATGCCAATGCCAAGGCCCTCTTGGTGCAAACGTTATAAATTGTTACTGGCCTGTGCACCCAACCCAATGCAACTGTAGAAGACAGGAAATGGACGGTACCTAGGTTCCTTACCGTATATGGCACAATTCGTAGGTGGTGCTATTCATGTTCTTGGGATGTAATTGCTTATATGTGTCACATGGTACATGTGCAACAATCCTGCAATATGGTATGTTCAATCAAACAACACTTCATGCCAGGTCAGACGAACGCGGAGTCAGTGCTCGTTGTATTACCAATAATTTCACCTATTTTTTGAGAATTTCGGAGTTTTAGGGTGATATGATTTGTTTAGAGACCCTGGTTTTGTTGCCCTGCTGGTGACCTAAATTTCATGCTGAGAAACTAAAAAATACCCGTTAACACTTTCTTGGAAAGTTTGCCCTGCAGGCTTACTGCAGGAGTGTATGAAATTCCATCACAGGACGTACTTAGCACATTGGCTGTGACTCGGTACTAAACGTGGCCGTAACATACAACAACTCCAATTTTCTGAGATTAAACACCACATCAGTTAATGCACCCGGTGACTAATTCTGGGTGCTAAGCGGCTGCTGCTGTTGCTCTTCCTATACTGGCTGTGGTTGCTTCTGCTGCGGTGGCTACTGCTGTTGTTGCTGCTGGGAAGGATTGACTCTTGTCCGTTTCGCTGAGGCGAACTCGGCTCTGTTATGCACACGGAAAGTGCAAGGAAAGAGGTCCGCGGGAAGAGGTGCAGGGGAAGAGGTGCAGGGGAGGAGGTGCACGGGAAGAGGTGCAGGGGGGAATATTAGTAGGGATGAATGTAACATGGATTCAAACGAGTGGCAAGGGGCAGAGGGTGCTGTGCCGTGCCACACCGTGCGTGCAACTAGAGCAGAAACAAAGGGCTAGATGGAACAGTACGACTCGAGGTGACTTTTGAGTCGACTCAAAAGTCACTAGAGCAGAAACGAAGGGCTAGATGGAACAGTATGACCCGAAAATGAACAAGGAGACGCGAAACAAAACGAGGGTGAATGAAGAGACCCAAACCCTGCGGCGGAAATAGACAAAAGAACGAACAGAACAGGCTCAAGTAATTCACGTCAAGAGTAGGCCACAAAAGGGCACGAGATGAACACGGAAGGAACACAGAAGGAACACGGAAGGAACACGGAAGGAACACGGAAGGAACACGGAGAAAAGATACTGGAAGGCTTACCCGCATGTGGCACAGGTGCGAGCAGGGGAGCAGAAGATGGAGAGACAGACAGAGCACACAAAGCCCATGTCCACTGGGCGCTTGTGGCAGAAACAGCTGCGATGCACAGGGAGAAGAGGAATGGGGGGGGGGATGGAGGGGCTTTTGAGACGTCTCAAGAGACATACGGAGCACACAAAGCCCATGTCCACTGGGCGCTTGTGGCAGAAGCAATTGCGATGCACACAGGGGGAAGGGAATGGGGGGGTTGGAGGGAATGTGGGTGGCTGGGACGGTTGAGTTAGCAGGAGAACACAGGGCAAGTTGCGGATGGGATTAGGACAGAGAATGATGGGTTTTGCAACAGGGCGTGAGTGGGGAAGGGAGAAAGAACGGGGACTTGAAGAGGGGAACAGCACGGCATGGCATGGTAAAGCATGGCATGGCAGGCATGGCATGGAATGTCATGGCATGGTACGCACAGCATGGCAGGCAAGCATGGCATGGCAGGCACGGCATGGCAGGCATGGCATGGCAGGGTGCATACGAGGCTCGGAAGTCCACAGCTGATGGCTGAGGCAATGTGATGAAGTCCCGAGAGAACTGATCCACTCCAAACACTAGCTGCAGCAAATGGAGTGTGCGGGGAAGGCATGGGGTGAGATGAGACAGGAGAGAACCAGTTCACAGCGCATGCCAGCTATTATTTATGGCAGGCGGGGCATGACGAAGGTGTACGTACGTACGTGCATGTATGCAGCGCACCTTTAAAGGTTTGATTCTGGGAGAGGAAGGAATGAGGAAGGTTTGATTCTGCACGATACCAGGAGGTCTTGGAGAAGGGCGTTGGGGCGTGTGGAGTGCAGATACAGGCCTCCTGTGAGGAACGCCGCCTGTGAGAGGACAGGGGGGCAAGGGAAGGGAAGGGGGGACTTATGTGGGGCCTCAGAAGGGCGTTGGGGCGTGTGGAGTGCAGATACAGGCCTCCTGTGAGGAACGCCACCTGTGGGGGGGCAGGGGGGCAAGGGAAGGGAAGGGGGGACTTATGTGGGGCCTCAGAAGGGCGTTGGGGCGTGTGGAGTGCAGATACAGGCCTCCTGTGAGGAACGCCACCTGTGGGGGGGCAGGGGGGGGGGCAGGGAGGCAGGGAGCAGGGAATGGAGTGAGAGGGTGAGGCGTTATCAGCCGAATCAAAATGAGACAAGTTTTTGAGTCGACTCAAAGCGCGTGGAGTGGAGTGCAGATAGAGGCCTCCTGTGAGGAACGCCGCCTGTGGTGTGGGTGGACAGGGGGGTCAGGGAAAGGAAGGGAGTGATATCGGGAGTGCGAGGATTTTTCAGTCGAATCAAAATGAGGAGAGTTTTTTCAGTGGACTCAAAGCGCGTGGAGTGGAGTGGAGTGCAGACAGAGAGGCCTCCTGTGAGGAACGCCGCCTGCGGGCGGGCATGGTGGGGCAAGGGGGACAAGTGAAAGGAGTGAAATGGGGAGGGCGAGTAAGGGCGTGCGTGAGAGACAGAGCTGTGGTGAATCCGCTGCCATGCCACAATGTATGCGAAGAACCGCCATGTGATGCCATGCAAGCAACCATGCATGTGATCCAGTGCCATGTGACGCCATGTGACGCCATGTGACGCCATGTGACGCCATGTGACGCCATGTGACGCCATGTGACGCCATGTGATGCCATGTAGTGAATTCTCTAGTAGATGCGCAAGAGCTGCAAACACTAACTTGGGGGGATAACTCTGCTCTGCTGTAGTGGCAGCTTAATGTTCCCATCAACTCAACCCCACAACACTCATAGGCAGAGGCACAGGCAGCAATGCTCACAGCACAGCACAGCACAGCAGCAGCAGCAGCAGCAGTGGCGGCGGCAGCAGCAGCAGCAGCAGCAGCAGCGGCAGCAGCAGCGGCAGCAGCATCGGCAGCAGCATCGGCGGCAGCATCGGCAGCAGCGTCGGCAGCAGCAATGCCCGCCCACCTGCTGCAGAAAGGCAGAATCTGCCTCCCCAATGGCACATGCGTCTATAGGCACCTGCGGTGGACATATGCCCACACATGCATGCACATGCGTGCACACAGGCACATACATGAATGCATGCACACATGCAAATGGGAGGGACGAACAGGAGCAAAGGCGGGCGAGCTGCTGATGAGATGAAGTACATGGAGACAGTGGAAAGGACCCATACCCATAACCACGCTCATTGCCAGTACCCATGCCCATAACCACGCTCATTGCCAGTACCCATGCCCATAACGAGATCACTTTTGAGAATTCTGAAAAGTGATTTCAATGTGCTGATGAGATGAAGGACATGGAGACATTTGAGGCGACTCAAAAGAGATGAAGTACATGGAGACTGTGGAAAGGACCCATACCCATAACCACGCTCATTGCCAGTACCCATGCCCATGCCCATGCCCGTTCCCATGCCCATGCCCATGCCCATGCCCATAACCACGCTAATTGCCAGTACCCATGCCCATGCCCGTGCCCATGCCCATGCCCAAGCTGACTGTGCTAGAAAGACTAAGAGCAACGAGCAGCTTACTCCTGCCTTCTGCGACGAGAAAATAGCGTTCATTATTGCAACGTACCTGATGGGATGGGCAGGGAGAGCGAAACGAAGGGAAACCAGGGGAGAGAGAGGGTAGGGGGTGGGGAGGGAAAGAGTGGAAGAGGGGAAGAGGAAAGAGGGGAAGAGGGAAAGAGGGAAAGAAGGAAAGAGGGGAAGAGGAAAGAGGGGAAGAGGGGAAGAGGGAAAGAGGGGAGGAGGAAAGAGGGGAAGATGGAAATAGGGAAAGAGGGGAAGAGGAAAGAGGGGAAGAGCAAAAGAGGGAAAGAGGGGAAGAGGAAAGAGGGGAAGAGGGGAAGAGGAAAGAGGGGAAGAGGAAACGAGGGGAAGAGGGAAAGAGGAAAAGAGGGGAAGAGGGAAAGAGGGGAAGAGGGAAAGATGGAAAGAGGGGAAGAGGGAAGAAACAGGATGGTTTGTGAGTCACCGTCCCACTAAGACGATGCTATAAACAAGGTCATCTTTGTTTAGTTCTCTCCTCAGTGCGTGAGTGAGGTGAGTGGGAGCCGTACCAGCTTTGATTTGAACACACACAAGGTTTGCATTGCGACGCCTCAAAATGAGGCGATTGCGCAAAGGTAAAAATACACCAGCTGCTTGGGTGCGAGATAGGTCACGGGCGACCTCAAGCAGATGTGCCGCGTACTTGTGTTGTGAGGCACGTTACCGCATGGGTGGGTGGGTGGGTGGGGGGGGGGGTGCGTGGATGGATGGATGGGTGTGAGAGAGAGGAGCACACGTAACTGTTGAGCAGCGTCTGGTGAGCCATGGATACAGAGGATCTGCGATGAGCACACACAAAAGTATGCATGCATGCATGCACACATGGATGCACACTCATTCGAGAGGAGTGCAATCAAGGAGATGCATGCATGAAAAGGAGAGATACTCATTAAACCCTAGTGCAGAAAAAACAGCAACAATGGAAGCTTGTCTGATCTGAAGGATGGCTTGGCTTGCCACATTCTGAGTCTTAGCCTACTTAACAGTAGCGTGTTGTGATATGCTATCTAATACCTTCCAATGCTGTCTCATGCTGTCCCGTCCCATCCAATGGTATACCATTCCATACCATTCCAAGCCATCCCATGCTTTCCATGCTATCCCATGCCATCCTATGCCATCCTATGCCATCCCATGACATCTCATCCCATGCCATGCCATGCCATGCCATGCCATGCCATGCCACCCCATGGCCTACTCTTGGTCTTGGCGCTGACATGCCCTTGCTGCTGGCCTTCACACAATCTGGCGGGCAGGAGAGTGGTGGCAACAGGTGGGGTGAGGTGGAGGGAGATTGGGCAAGGTGTTTAAAGTAGAATATCACCATTTGCCTTTTACAGCACACACACGCACCCATTCACATGGCACCCCACCACACCACACACGCACAAACATGCGACCAGCACCATCACCATCACCAGCACCAGCACCAGACCAGCACCAGCACCAGCACCAGCACCAGCACCAGCACCAGCACCAGCACCAGCACTCACATGCCAGAGCCATTGACAACGACCCTGATAACAGCGATGCTTGATGACTTGTGAGTCGACTCAAAGTCTACTGGGCAGGGTGAGAGGGTGGCAGAGGCACCAACACTCACATGCCAGCGCCATTGACAACGACCCTGATAACAGCGACACTTGTTTTGAGGCGCCTCAAAACTAGAGGGACAGAGGGAGCCTGGGCATGGTGAGGGGGGCGGAGGCAGCAGCACTTACATGCCAGAGCCATTGACAACGACCCTGATAACAGCGATGCTTGATCCCCCACCAATCCCTTCCCTCCACCTTCTCCACCCTCCCTTCCCCCACTCGCTCCTCTCTCTTGGCTCCCCTCCCTGTCCCTCATCTCCCTATCCATCGCGCCATTCCCCTCCACCCCCTCCATTCTCTCCGTGCCCCCATCCCCATCCTCTCTCCCTGCACTCTCCCCTTCCGCTGTCCCTGTTGCTGCCTCCCCCTTGGCCCGCTCGGTCTCTGCTGTTGCGAAGCTGAGCAGTTGAGAAACAGCTGCTTCGGCAGGAGATGAGGGAGAAGAAAGCGATGAGGAGGAGGAGGAGGCGGAGGAGGTGTCAGAAGCAGGAGGATGAACGAATGCACTGGAGAAGTGTTGGGATATAAGGGCGGCGGGCATAGGTGTAGGACATGAGGGAGCAAGCAAGCATGGGAATGTGAATGAGCGAGCACAAACAAACGTGAAAGGGTGCGAGGAGATGGGAATGGTTGACAGGTGGAGAGGGTGAGGGTGAAATAGGGAGATTCGGCGGTTGGGTGGGATTGGGGAGCAGGGGGAGCAAATTGGGTGTGGTGTCCTATTTGGAAAATTATGGGGGAAGAAAGAAAGAAAGAAAGAATTATAAATCATGTTGTGGTGGCCTATGAATGCAATGTTGTTTTAACACATGGCATGCCACCACAGGGCATGGAGCAGCAAGCATGGCGTGGAAAAACAGGCAGGCAGGCAGGCAGGCAGGCAGGCAGGCAGGCAAGGGCGGCAGGGGCACGGACCAGCAGGAGTGGCCGGTGGCGATGACAGCAGCCCTGTTGGCGCTGTGCAGCAGCAGATAGGCGTTCAGGAACACACGCAGCTGGCCGTGGGGGTGCGGGGGCGGGTGCGGGGGAGAGAAGCAAGAAGGAGAGTGGATTTTTGAGGCGCCTCAAAACTCAGCCCTGTTGGCGCTGTGCAGCAGCAGATAGGCGTTCAGGAACACACGCAGCTGCCCGTGGGGGTGGAGGGGTGAGGGTGGGGAGGCGGGGGGAGAGAGGCAAGATGGAGAGAGGTGGTGGGAGAGGGGAGGGGGGAAGACAGGCAGGGGAGGAGAGGTGGGGAAGAGGAAAAAATAGGGAAGGAGGGGGGGGAGGAGGAGGAAGAGAGAGGAGGGAAAACGGGGTGTGACAACCAAGTGAGGTGAAAGGGAGGTTAAGAGTGGAGAGTGCAAGGAAGGTTAAAAGGTAACAAGGGGTTGGGTTGATTGAATCAGAACAACCCATAGGCGCACAGGCACCGCTTAGCACCGCACAGCACAGAAGAGTGGGTGAAGGTAGGCGGTGCATTGCAGAACAACAAGTGGAATAAAAGGGGGGAGGTGGGGCAGGAACTTAACGGAATGCAAGTGTGAACCCACATGAGGGAGACACGAGGACAAGAGCGGGGCAGAGAGGGGTGAAAAGGGCCAGAGAGGGGTGAAAGGGCCAGAGAGGGCGAATGGTGAGCGCACCTGCGAGAGGAAGTCATGGAAGGTGGGGAGGGAGGGCGGACGCAGCGCCCAGAAGAATGGATTGACGTCCACCACGAGCACCAGCAGACTCAGATCCTCTGACATGCAGGGAATGAACGAATGGCCGGGTGAAATTCAGGCAGGAGTGGAAAGGGCAGACCGGGTACGACACAAAAGTGGGTGATTGGGGGAATGGGGGAAGGGATTAGAAGTGGGGTTTTGCTCGGAGGTGGCGAGTGAATTGAATCTAGTCAAGCTGCAGATTTAGATGCTGGCGACGAGAAAATTATGACAGATGACGACGGATCGGGATACCGCAGCTATCAACTGCTTTGTTCGACGCGGTATGAAGCAGTACAGTCTCGGGGGAGAAGCTGGGAAGAGATAAGGATTCGAGGACGCCCTAAAACATGACGAACACGCACGCGACTCGCAAGAGGGCGAGACTAACATGACGAACGCACACGTAAGGCCAGCCTTCTACGCTACCTGAGGCGAGCGGCATGGCAGAAAGAGCGGATTCCCAACCTTCCTCCCCGTCCCCGGCCCCTTCGAGAATTCCAGAGGCCGGCGAGGGAGGATAAGCACGGGTCAAGCGTTCATCTTTTGCAGAAGACGGTTCTAAAAAACTTGTGATAGCGATTGGTCGGGTATGGGGCTTGGTCAACGCGTTGCGACAGTCGATTTCCCTTAGCCTGCTGGTCAGGTCAGTCATACCTGCCAGATTGATCAGCATGCATTTATACCCCCCTCCATATGCAGTTGGGTGCCTGGGTATTGTAGGCCAAACTGGCTCTCAAACTCCCACTTTTTGTATCTGGGTAGTTTCAAATTGTTTTATTTAATGGGACAACAGAAGAGAAATTACTAAGACCTTTTTATCCAGATGTGGCTGCTACTCCTGGATCATTTCAGCATCCTTACAGAACAGTTGTAGTGCGATTGAGTAAGGTTACAGCTGGTTTGTACCAGAATTCACGCTACTACTGCCTTGATTAAACATGGCTGGAGGCAGAAGGGGATTGATCATTCGAGCGTCAATGATCGCTTGGTGTGGTTTGGGGGAGAGCGATCAACCTGTGACGGGTGTGGTGTGTGCAGTGTGTGGAGGAGAGAGGCATGGTAGTCGAGAGTTTAGTCGCGAGGCAGGGTGATTGACCCTGACGTCTCTGGGTGCACCTGAAATGGGATTCGGAACAAGGAACGAACCCAAACCGCACCAGGGCCAAACCATGGCTTCCCCTGTCGTCTCGCCGTCTACTGTTCATGCTTCACATGAAACAGGTTTCTGGTACGGTACAGTAGGGTACATCTGATAATGAATAGCATGAACCATATGGTACAGTAGTTCGTCTATTTGCCACATCCATGAGTGTGGAATGGTATGTGTGTGACTCCTTCCCATCGCACTGACTTCCTCTTGAACATACTGTAACCGACGTTTATTCCACCCACTACCGCCACCATCATTGTCGCTGCCTTGCCACTTCTGCTTCCATCACCTTACCGACAATCCTTGTCTTCGTTGCTGCAGAATGCTGAGGTTGTCTCGGGTTATTACACCTCCTAGCAACTCGGCTTTCATCGCGAGCTATTACTGTATTACCACCTCCAAGCTCGGCGTTTCGTTGCTCTACGTATCGTCGTGTTGAGGGGTTTGCCTTCTTGAATCCAATGCGCGCGCAGCCAGCAGCTCCATCGCGCGCACGCTATCTATTGCGCCACACCGCACCGCATCATAGACATGATCCACCGCGTTGATCGATCTCGTGTTTCTGCCAGCATTTATTGGTCCCACCGTTTACCAACAAGCCGAAAATTTCCAACCACTTTCGGCGTAATGCAGTCCGTCTGTTCGCTTAACGAGCGTACACGCTATTAGCTACGAGGAGTGGAAATGACCTGTTAATGCTAGTAGCATACCCGCTATTAGCACCTGTCGCTCTGTAACCAGCATACTCGCAAAAAACGGGGCCGCTTTAGCGTCGATTGCACGCAACCATGCGAACTCCCCTCGGGATTAGGCTTTCCAGCAACAGCGGCAGAGATGACAGCAGCAATGACTGCAGCAGCAGCAGCAGCAGCAGAAACAGAAGCGAGGATTGCAGCAGCATTAACAGCAAGTGAGGCGAGGAGGGGGGGACAGCGGAAACCACACTATCAACACCCGATACTATTACCTCTCAACCACCTCTCAAGCGCAACTGCTCCTTCCCCATGGGACAACCCTCTCCCGATCTCATCCCGCTCCCCACCTCCTCCCCCGTTTCGAACGCAGCCGTGCCCGTGTCAACTTCTCCGCCCGTGTCATCTTCCCCGCCCGTTTCATCTGCTCCGCCCGTTTCATCTTTCCCGCCGATGATGGAACCCGTTCCGCCGGCCCCTGCGCTCACATTCCCCCCGCCCAGCTCCAGCGCCGCGCAGGAGCGAATGGCCACCGTGATTTGCGGGCAGAGCCACCACCACCACCACCACCACCACCACCTCCGCTCGTGGTCGCTCGCGTCGCACGAGGCATCCCCGAGTGACCGGGGAAGGGGCGGAGGAGACGGGGGAAACGGGGGAAGCGGAGCAGATGGGGAGAGCGGAGGCGGAGGCGGGGACAGAAGCGGGGGAGGCGTTCCCGCCACGTGCGCACAAAAGCGGAGACTTTTCCCCCGCAGCAGCAGCAACAATAGCGAGGTGGTGGGGGTGGAAGGCGGAACAGCGGGGGATGGGGGAGGGGGGGACGCGGGGAGTGGTGGCGGCGATGGGGGGAAAATGCCTGGCGCCAATGCAGTTGGGGGGAGTACCAGGGGACGGTTTCGGACGCATGGCTTAGGACAAAGTCTAGGGTTCTTGAAAGGTGGTGGTGGGAGCACTGGGGGTGCTGGAAGCAGCAGCACTGCCACCACAACTGCCACTACCACTGCCAGCACGACCCATACCATTAGCAGCAGCAGCAGCAGCAGCAGCCGCTTTTGTAGCAGCCCCTTTAGTAGCAGCCCCTTTAGCAGCAGCAAGGAAGCTGGACGAAAGCAGAGCAGCTCCCGAGTCCCGGGCAGTCACAGCATTGGTAGCAGCAGCAGCAGCAGCAGCAACAACAACAACAACAACAACAACAACAACAACAACAGTCACACAAGCAATGAAGTCTGCGGGAGCAGCAGCAGCAGCAGCAGCGGCAGCAGCAGCAGAAGGTTTAGCATTGTCGGTGGCTCCGTCTCCGGCAGCAGCGTCAGGAGCATGTTCAAGAGCAAGAGCATCAGCGGCAACAACAACTACCCAGTTGACACCCCCATCAGCCGCAGCAGCAGCAGCAGCTGTGGCGGCAGTGGCAGCAGCAGCAGCAGCAGCGGCAGCAGCGGCATGAACTTCAGAAGAAGCAGCAGCAGTACTGGCACAGGATTAGCAGCAGGAGGGGAAGAAAGGGGAGGGGAAGGAGGAGCAGGAGGAGCAGGAGGAGCAGGAGGAGCAGGAGGAGCAGGAGGAGGAGCAGGAGGAGCAGGAGGAGCAGAAGCAGGAGCAGGGTCACCAGCAGCAGCAGCAACAGCAGCTGCAAACGCGGGACGGCGGCTGCTGAGAGTGATATCGTCCGTGTCAGTGCCTGTGTCAGTGCGAAGGGGGCTGGGTCTACCCTGGCCCAGCAGCAGCAAAATGGCAGCAGAGCCGAAGCTGGTGAGGCAGCGGTCTCTCCCTGGCGTCACCCGGCGCGTCATCTGTGTCCCGGCCCGCCCCATGCGACCATCTCCACCGCCACTCTCACCATCAGCTGCTGCTGCTGCTGCTGGTGTTTCTTCTGGTGCTGGTGCTGGTGCTGGTGCTGGTGGTGGTGGTGGTGACTGGTGCATGAGCGGCAGGGATGCTACTGCAGAAGCGTGTGGTATTGGGGCTAGTCCCTTGCGCGGCCTTCCCCACACCCATGCACATGCACATGCACATGGAGGCGCAACTCATGCAGCAGCAGCAGTAGCAGAAGCAGCTGGTGCAGCAGCAGGGGGAGCAGGGGAAACAGCATTGTGGGGAGCAGGGGGGGAAACAACATCAGCAGCAGCAGCAGCAGCAGCAGCAGCAGCGGCAGCAGCAGCAGCAGGAGGAGGAGGAGGAGCAGGAGCAGGGGCGATGCAGCGGTTCCACCTGGGAGCCGTGGTGGGCGTGGGCAGTTACGGGATGGTGTATGAGTGTGTGGAGGAGGATACAGGGATAACCTATGCCGTCAAAGTGCTGCGAGAGGCACCACTGCATGCTCCTCCTTCTGCCATCAGCATGGGCATGGGCATGGGGATGGGTTTGGGCATGGGTATGGGGTTTGGAGCAGCATGGGGATCGTTACGTCGCCTGATTTCGTCTGGGCTTGCTACTGGCAGCAGTGGCGGTAATGGTGCTGCGTCTGCTACTGCCAGTGGGGACAGCGACGGGGGAACGGGTGCTGCTGGAACAGCACTTACTGCTGCTGCTGCTGCTGCAGCGACAGGCCATACTGCTGAAACTGGAGAGACCAGTTCTGAACTTCCTGCTGCTGCTTCATCTGCTGTCAGCGCAGGCCCTGCTGCTGCTCCTGCGTCCACTCCTTCACCTGCTGGTGCTCCTGCTGCCGGGGAGTCAAGAATACCAGCTGGCAGCTGCAGCAGCACCCACAGCAACAACCCCGCTCCCACCACCGCCCCCGCCACCGCCACCAGCAGCAGCACCGGCGGCAGCAGCACAGTTCTACGGGAGAAAGTCCGCCGAGAGGTGGAATTCCTGCGCCTGCTGCAACCCCACCCACACATTGTCCACCTGCACTGCGCGCACCAGGACCGCGCCGCCGCGTATGTGTTCACAGAGTACTGTCTAGAAGGCGACCTGCACCACAAGATCGCCACGCAGGGGCCGCTGCCTGAGCGGGATGCGGCCGAGGTGTTTGCGCAGCTCGCGTCCGCGCTCGCGTTTTGCCACGCGCGCGGCGTGGCTCACCGGGATGTGAAGCTGGAGAATGTGCTTGTCGCCAGGTGCCCTGCTGAGTTCTCCATGTTTGCTGCTGCTTCGCCTCTTGCTTCTGGAGGAGGAGGGGAAGGAGGTGGAGGTAGGGGGGATGGGGGAGGAGGGGGGGGGAAGGGAAGGAGGTGGAGGAGGGGAAGGAAGGGGGAGGGGAGAACGGGCGATGGGCTGTGACGTAGAGATGGGCAGCAAACGTGCTTCTTCCGGTGCTTCCCCTGACAGTGCTGCTGCCGCTGCTTCTACTGCTTCTGCTGCTTCTTCTGCTAGTGCTGCTGCTGCTGCTGGTGCTTCTGCTGCTGCTGGTGATGGCACTCTCGCTGTATACTCTCCTCCCACTGCTGCCGACCCCAGCAGCACCTGTGCTGCTGCTGCTGCTGCTAATCTGGCCGGCACAGCAGCCTGGGAAAAACGCTCCTGCTCCACACCCACTCACCGGTCAGCCTGGAACGAGCTGGAGGCTGCTGTGAGGCATAGGGGGGCATCGGGGCATGGTGGCAGTGAGTGGGAGATGGCAGGGGAGGCGCAGGTGCGGAGCAGTGTGGGGAAGCATGGGCATGGGCATGGAATGGCAGCAGCACCAGCAGCACCAGCAACACCAGCAGCATCAGCATCAGTGGCAGCAGTGTCAATATCAACATCACCATCACCATCCCCAACACCATCCCCATCAGCATCACCATCGCCATCACCAGCAGCAGCACCCAACCCATCACCAGCAATGCGCAGAGTAGCAGCATCAGCAGCTGCAACAGCAGGAGCAGCAGGTATGGCCCGGCCCGCTACCCCACCCAGGCCAGCAGCTAACCCCCACGGCACAGCAACTTGGGGGGTGAATCACCGTGCGTCCATCAGCACCTCTTCCCCTGCCGGCCCTACTCCTGCGAGTGGTGCTCCCAGCAGCACGACTGGCAGCACGACTGGCACCGCCGGCAGCAGCAGCAGCTCTGGCTCCTTGCACAGAGGCAGCGGGCGCAGCATGTGGGGATGGGGATCGGCTGATGCTTCTTTCTTCAATGACCTTCCCACGCCCATGCCCTTACACTCGACGCCTGGACGCTCCAGCGCTGCTGATTCGCACTCGCCCTGCTTCCATCCGCGCTCACACTCGCCTCCCATCCCTGCACCGCCCTCCTCCTCCTCCTCCTCCTCCTCCTCCTCCTCCGCCTCCTCCTCTTCCTCGCCCTTCTCCTCCTCTGAATGTGTGTCTTCTGCTGCCCCTTCGGATCTCCCTGCTTCCTCGGTCTCTGCTCCCTCCAGCAGCAGCAGCAGCAGCAGCAGCAGCAGCAGCAGCAGTAGCAGCAGTGGTTGGGGCAGCATGGGCAGTGGCCGCAGCACCAGCACTGGTTCCAGCAGCTTTAGCAGCAGTGGCAGCAGCGTTAGCAGCAGCAGCAGCAGCTGTGGGTGGGGCACAAAGCAGGGTCGGTGGTCGGTGCGGCTTGCTGATTTTGGGTCTGCTGTGTTTCTGTCAGCGGCTGGGAAAGAGAGGTGGCAGGGCAGCAAGCCGTACATGGCACCAGAGGAAATTACCAGGCCCCCTGTGTCGAATGTGCATGGTCAGCAGCAGCAGCAGCAGCAGCAGCAGCAGCAGCAGCAGCAGCAGCAGCAGCAGCAGCAGCAGCAGCAGCAGCAGCAGCAGCAGCAGCAGCAGCAGCAGCAGCAGCAGCAGCAGCAGCAGCAGCAGCAACAGCAGCAGCAACAGCAGCAACAGCAGCAGCAGCAGCAAAAGTACCACAGAAAAAAGGGCAGCCCACAGGCGCAAGGGCAAGCACATGCGCAGGCATGTGGACAGGCACAAGGGCAAACGCTAGCTGGGGCACAAGCACAAGCACAATCGGCACCAGATACCCACTCTGCTACATCTCCACCAGCAGCAGCAGCAGCAGCAGTAGGAGCAGGAACAGCAGGTGAGTGGCAAGCCCAGTTCCAGCCGCACAAGGCCGACGCATGGAGCCTGGGTGTGGTCCTGTACGCACTTCTCTCAGGCCGCCTGCCCTTCCTTGCACAAACCGACACAGAGCTAGCAGAGCTGATCAGCCAAGGGGAGGTTGATTTGGAGGAGGACCCTTGGCATGACGTGGGGAACGATGCCAAGCGGCTGTTGCTGCGCCTGCTTGTGCTGAGCCCTGGGGAGAGAGCTGCTGCGTGTGAAGTTCTTGATGACCCGTGGCTCGTGCGGCATGGCGTGGGGGTTGTGAGACGTCTCAAATGATGTGGGGAATGATGCCAAGAGGCTGCTGCTGCGCCTGCTTGTGCTGAGCCCTGGGGATAGAGGTGCTGCGTGCGATGTGCTTGATGACCCGTGGCTCGTGCAGCATGGTGTGGGGGTTGTGCGCAGGTGGAGGGTTTCTGGTGGTGCTGGCAGGGGTGGAGGGGAGGGAGTGGAAGGGGAACTGGGTGGGTTGGTGTTGGAAGGTGGAGGTGGGTGATTGGGGTGAGAAGGAAAGGAGATGAGGTGAGGTGATGTGTTACCTTTTGGTGAGGTTTGCAAAGATATAAACTAGCTGGATGTGATGCTGTACTGTAATTCTTTCTTTTGTTTGCAGGAGATGGACTGTGGAAATGCAGCTGTATCAGTCTCATTGTTCGAATTGATGAAGAGAAACAGCTAGAGGACAGCTAAGAGGGCATTGAAATGAAAATTTCATGGATATAATTTCCTTGTAATGGAATATACCCGGACGATAATTTGCTGGATATACCACTGAATCAGGCCCTCTGAACCCATAACGTTATTTGCAGCAGGTGCTTCCACATCCAGGGCGTTTTTCTTCAGGAAAGTTACAATAATTTGCTTATCTTAACACTTTTCGTCATTTCAAATAACAATCATTGAGCTACAGTCATTCCCACCCATTGGCCCTTCACAAGTGCTGGTTCCGCTTTAGAAGCAACAAGTGTAGCTTGCATCGAGTCATCGTGCCCGAAGCATCACATCGCTCAGATATTTTCATCTCTCTTGACTCTGTTTCTCCACTTTCGATGTTTCCGTTTTCCCCCTTTTTTGTTTATTTTTGCCCTTTCTTTTCTTGTCTTTGCTTCGTCACATATGCTGGCTAAGTGGGAAGAAGAGTACGAAGAAACTTTGAAAATACAGTGTCCCAGTTCAGAGACACTATGTTTCGTTTCCAAAACATTGGCCCAATTCCCACTCCCATCTGGATTAAAACGTCTGCAGCATAATGCGCAACTTCATCCGTCGTGTTCCTTTGAACACACGTGGCAACTCTCAGCTTTGACATGCTTTCTCTGGGGCATTGTCAGTCAGTGTTCCCCCTTCCAGCACGGATTTTGGCGGGAGTGGAACAAGGCAGCGCGGTTCGAAGTGAACCAATGCTGGGTGGGCTGGAGGTTCGTCCTAGACGCTGGTTGGTGCATCCAACTGCCATCGTGAGCCATATTTTTTGCGACGAGCTCCGCCATCAGTTGGTGGTGTGCAGGTTCGGCTCACGGCACATCCCAAACCATCACCCCGTCGAGCCGCACCTGTTACTTTCCCCTCCACTTTACGCGAAAACACCCTGCTCATGACGAAAGTCGCGACGGTAGTGCTTGGCCCGTCACGAAAACAGGGTATGGTAGCGTCAGGACCTGGCGAATCCTATCAAAATAGCGCGATTTCCATGCTGCTCTGGCTGCTCTGGCAAACTGTTTGACCCCGCTTCGCACGAACTCCCGCTTCTTTGGCAAACAAGCTGCACACCAAATTCTTGACTCCCCACGCCTTCCCCAGCCGACCTCAAGTGGAATTCAAAATCAGCTGACGTATAAGACCACTGCCGTTCTATCAATTCCTTTTTTAAGCGTTAAACTCCTGCTCAATCAGACCAATACTAAAAACAGCTATCGGGCTCCTACCACTTCTATCCAATACCACTTCCAGCTTTTTCTTCCACAATACAGCCGCCGCGCCTTACGAGCCCTCTATAACCAGCGCGACACCGCACGATGAGAGAGATTCTTCACATCCAAGGAGGGCAGTGTGGCAACCAGATCGGTGCCAAGTTCTGGGAAGTGGTGTGCGACGAGCATGGCGTGGACGCCGGAGGAATCTACAAGGGCGACTCGCCGCTGCAGCTGGAGCGTGTGAATGTCTACTATAACGAAGCTAGCAACGGCCGTTACGTCCCCCGCGCCGTGCTATTGGTGCGTTCCGTCGTGTCTCTTGTCACAGGTTCTAGTAATCTTCCTATCTATGTCAAGACTTTTATGTCTAACCCGCTGCGTGTGTTGAATTGACGCTACAGCCCTGACGTTGTTTATTCCCTTCTTTCTATCTTTCGTCCCTCCCTACTCACCTTTACTCACCTTCTCGTTTCCGCCGTACGACATCCCCCCTAACTCGCCGTCTCCTCCGCAGGACCTGGAGCCCGGGGTGCTCGACAGCGTGCGCGCCGGGCCGTACGGCAAGATTTTCCGGCCGGATAACTTCGTGTTCGGGCAGACGGGCGCGGGCAACAACTGGGCCAAGGGGCACTACACGGAGGGCGCGGAGCTCATTGACTCGGTCATGGACGTCGTGCGCAAGGAGGCGGAGAACAGCGACTGCCTGCAAGGTGAGAGCGCGCTCTCTCCTTCCCGCGGAACGGTGGAATTTGTGTTGCGTTGCTCTTTTTGCCGCCCGCTTCGCTCCCGCTCTCGTCCCCCCTTCCCCCCCGCTTTTCCCCTCACGTCCCCCCTCCCCTATGTTTCCCGCTCACACGGTGCTCTTCTCTTCTTCCTCCACCCCGCTCCGCTTTCCCCCTCCTACTCTCACCCCCTTCCCCCCTTCCCCCCTTTCCGCCTCCAGGTTTCCAGGTCTGCCATTCACTAGGCGGCGGCACGGGGTCGGGGATGGGCACGCTGCTGATCGCCAAGATCCGCGAGGAGTACCCGGACCGCATGATGCTGACGTTTTCCGTCTTCCCGTCGCCCAAGGTGTCGGACACGGTCGTGGAGCCGTACAACGCGACGCTGTCAGTGCACCAGCTGGTGGAGAACGCGGACGAGTGCATGGTGCTGGATAACGAGGCGCTCTATGATATCTGCTTCCGCACGCTCAAGCTCGCCAACCCCAGCTGTGAGTTTTCATTGCGTCGCGCCACTTGTATTCCCTCTTCCCCGCTCTTCTCCCCGCTTATCTCCTCCCCCCTCTCTCCCCCTTTGCTCGCTCCCCCTTCCCCCTCCCCCAGTGACCCTCCTTCACCTCCCCCCTTCGTCACATCCTTCGAAATTCGTCCCATCTGATCGTCGTTCGGTTCCGTCTAGACAGGAAGTCTTACCCTCCTCTCCCCATTTCCCCCTTTCCACTCCCGCCTTCCCTCCTCCCCTCTCCCCGCTACAGTCGGCGATCTCAACCACCTAATCTCCGCGACGATGAGCGGAATCACGTGCTGCCTGCGCTTCCCCGGTCAGCTCAACTCGGATCTGCGCAAGCTCGCCGTCAACCTCATCCCCTTCCCGCGCCTCCACTTCTTCATGGTCGGCTTCGCGCCGCTCACGTCGCGCGGCTCGCAGCAGTACCGCGCGCTGACGGTCCCCGAGCTCACGCAGCAGATGTGGGACGCGAAGAACATGATGTGCGCCGCGGACCCGCGCCACGGGCGCTACTTAACGGCGTCCGCGATGTTCCGCGGGAAGATGAGCACTAAGGAGGTCGACGAGCAGCTCTTAAACGTGCAGAATAAAAACTCGTCGTATTTCGTCGAGTGGATCCCGCACAACGTGAAATCGTCCGTCTGCGACGTGCCGCCGCGCGGCCTTTCCATGTCGTCGACGTTCGTCGGAAACAGCACGAGCATTCAGGAGATGTTCAAGCGCGTGAGCGAGCAATTCACGGCGATGTTCCGGCGAAAGGCCTTCCTCCATTGGTACACGGGCGAGGGCATGGACGAGATGGAATTCACGGAAGCGGAGAGCAATATGAACGACCTAGTGAGCGAGTACCAGCAGTATCAGGAGGCGAGCGCGGACGAGGAAGACGCGGGTGAATACGACCACGATGAGGTGGCTTAACTCTGTCTGATGAGGGGTCTGGCTCGCTATCTCCCTCCATACTGTCGATACTGATTATTTCTGGTCTTGTTGTTAGCGGGGCAGGGGGGCGGCGGATTAGAGAACTTTGTTGTTTATGCTAGGGTGGTTTGCTTCGTGGCGCGCGGTGCCGCTTCCATGACGGTCCGTTAGCTTGTACAAGCATCCGGCGATACCAGCTTAGGACAGCTTAGGATTACCGTAGCACAATAAAGTCTGTTTATGCTCTTTGTTTTCTAAGGATACCCTACCAGAATTGGGATTCATGGAAACCGTGTGAACTAAGGGTACATTCCGCTGTAGAATATGTCCCAATCGATGTGTCCCAATCGATTGGGACGCGTACGTACAGCATATGCTGCCAGGTGTCGGAATGCCGTGCCGCCCGTGGTTGTCGCCGAATGTATTTATCATTGGGTGGCGTGATTCACGGAATTATCGCCAGCTAATTGCAACACACCCCATCAATCGCACGCGCCACCAAATGTCATCCCATGCAGCGTGTATCTAGACTACATTTTGCGCCACCCTCTATCCCCACCAACGCGTACTCTGCGTTGTGATTGGTCGAAGCGAACCATCCAGAATTATTGACAGGGACGCGCACTACCCCGCCATTGCGCCTTCCCCTCCGTCCTTGTGCACCTCCACCTCAACTCCTCCGCCTCCCAACCCCCTACAAGGTCAAGCTTTGTCAGAATATTATGCTCTAGCCTGTAGTGGGGTGCTCTATAGCGAGTACAACCCTTCTAGGGTTTGCTATTTGTATCTTCATTCTTGCTAGTGCAACTCCTCCTTCTTTTGCCTAAACTTCTCTTGCCTAGCTAGGACTTACCTAGCTATGGCGCCTTCTTCTACTGCTTACTTTCACATGGTATCAGAGCGATATGCTCCTGGCCTGTGGGCCCCACCTCACTGCTTCCGCTGCTACTGCTACTCCCTGTCCGCCGCGCGCCCCGTGGTGCGCGGCGTCGAAATTAGGGTTTTTCAGCCCGCCGTGCGCCCCGAGGCGCGCGGCGGTTTTCTGCCCGCCGTGCGCCCCGAGGCGCGCGGCGGTTTTCTGCCCGCCGTGCGCCCCGAGGCGCGCGACGGGTTTCTGCCCCGTCACTCGGCGCGTCGCCCCCAGGAGGCGCTACGACGGGCGACGGGGACCCGCGCGTCGCCCCCCGTCGCCCGTCGTGGCCTGCGCGCGGCCCGTACAGCCGGCGCGCGGCCCGTACGGGCTGCGCCAGGCCTGCGCGCGGCCCGTACGGGCTGCGCCAGGCCCGCGCGCGGCCCGTACGGGCTGCGCCAGGCCCGCGCGCGGCCCGTACGGGCTGCGCCAGGCCCGCGCGCGGCCCGTACGGGCTGCGCCAGGCCCGCGCGCGGCTCGGGCCGCCTGCGCGCGGTTCGGGAGGCTGTGCCAGGCCCATGGGCGGCCCGTTCTTCGCTGCCCCTGTCCTCCCCGCTGTCCCCCGTGCTTCTGAAGGCGCCCCACCCCTCCTTCTGCCCGTTCTCCTGGATTAGGGTTTGGGGGTGGGGGGTATGGGGGTGCAGCTTCTGTGTGCCGTTCCCTGCTCCTCCTCCTCCTCCGTCTCCCTGTGCTGCAGCTGCCGCTGAGGGGGGGTGGACCTGTTGGAGCCGTCGGAGTGGTACTAAGGGAGGGTGAAGGGGGAGTGGAGCTAGGGGTGAAGCAGGGGGTGTGTGTCAGGGGGGGTGGTACTGTTTGGGGGAGGTTGAACGGAGGTTGCCGTCGTGTCGCCAGCAGCACCTGTAGTCCGGGGAGTTGCTCCGGTAGCCCAGTCGTAGCCACCTGTGCCAGTCGCCCGTGGGTCCGTTGCTCGTCTGCCGCTACTTTTAGCCGCGGGGCCAGTTACTCCAGTAGTCCGGAGCGCTGTTCCGGTAGCCGCTGTGTCAGTGTGCCTCCTGTTGCCCGTGTGTCTGCAGCTTCAGCCGTCGCCTCCTATCTCCTCTCCTCTCACTGTCCCTCCTCCTCCTCACTTGCCCGTTGTGACTACCACTAGCTTTGCTCATAATTGTGAACTTTAAACTATTGTTTCCTGAACTTGTGCTCAGAATGTGTGGTGACATTGTGATCCACCCTGAGCTTGTTCTGCTTTGCTTGCTCTGCTGATTACACCCCACTTTGGCTATGGGGGTGTGTCAGAATATTATGCTCTAGCCTGTAGTGGGGTGCTCTATAGCGAGTACAACCCTTCTAGGGTTTGCTATTTGTATCCTCATTCTTGCTAGTGCAACTCCTCCTTCTTTTGCCTAAACTTCTCTTGCCTAGCTAGGACTTACCTAGCTATGGCGCCTTCTTCTACTGCTTACTTTCACAAGCTTGTAAACCTGCTTTGAAGTATCTCTCTGTCATCTTCTCCCGCCGCATCTCCCTTCATATCTAGATCTAGCAGTCATCCAACCGCAAGCATGGCGCGTAAGCGTAAGGGACAGGCCCTTAACGATTTCCCCAAGGACTTAAACGACATACCTTACATCCGCTGGATGAACCAGCAGATCGCCAACGGTCGCCATCCCAGGGGATTATCCGCGCCGCCCGTTCTTGACGGCCAGGGGTCCAGTGCACAGTCGCCCACGGCTGCACCGTCACGTGTGCGCCGTCAGCCTGCAAGGACGGCAGCAACGCACCGTCCAGTTGTGGAGGAAGACGATGCCGATGCTGACGACGACGAAGGAGACGACGACGTCGCCTCCGACGACGAGGAGGAGGAACCGGCGGACCTTGGAATGTCGCCCAGCGACGACGACGAAGACGACGACGAGGATGCCGAGGAGGACGCCCCGGAAGAAACACAGCCAGTCGCTCCGCCGCCGAAACGGAGCACCGCACGAAAGGCAGGGTCCGACAAGGGCAAAGGCAAGGCGGCGCAACCTGCGGCACGCCCAGAGCCTCGGAAGAAACGGGCGGCCGCACCAGTCGAGCGCGGCTTATGGTCTGACAAGGAGAGCACCATTTTCGTCGCGGCGAAATGGTTCATGAAAGAGGAGCTCGAGCCTCTCAAGGGGAAGCAGGGGACGCAATACTGGGCCCGGCTGCTCGCACACATCAAGGAGTCGAATCCCGGATGGTGCAGGGGAATCAACGCACTGCAGAAACAGTGGCGTAACCTGCTACTTCTGTGGCGAGAGTACAAGCGTGCCGACGGGGGGTCGGGCAACGGCTCGGTGGAGAAACCACCGTGGTATCCGTACCTGGAGCTGCACAACCAAGACACCGACGCAGCCGCACCGCATGCCGTGGACGGAGGTGGGGCGAATAACGTCAACGTGCCGGCGGGCATGGAGGTTCCAACTTCGTCCCAGCCAGGCACTTCAACTCCATGCTATACGGGTGAGTACGTGTTCCCGCTTCGGTACGATTTCACATGCTTGCCTCACCATTCTATGTTCAAACTTTACATTTTTATTGTCGGCTGAAATGCAACATAAAAAAACATTGTGTGCACGGCAGGCTCTAACATACTTTCTTCGCACCTCCTATGTCGCAGCTCCCCCGCCTACGACCCCTGCCACACCCAGGCGAGCCCGGGTGCATGAGACAGCTACCATGCAAGCGGCGATGCTGGTCTCCGCCACCATCAAGGACTGCCACGGCGACGCGATGACTCGCATAGAAGGCCTCGTCCGTGATTGGATGGCGCAAGACCTCCGACTTGCCCGCGAGCGCATGTCTGACTCGGCTCCCCCGGATGTGCACCGCGAGCCGCCGGATTTCTCCCCACCGCCGCCACGAGGGGAGTCCGCGCCACCCCCCGAAACCGCACGGCCGCGAGAGGATGTGGGCGACGACAACACCGTCACTCCGGCGGCCGAGGATGTGGAGATATGGGTGCGCGGCACCGACGATTAGCGTAAGATTCTTGGAGCGCCTCCCCCAGTCGTTTCCGCCTCTCCCGCAGTGCCTGTTGTGTTGGGGGAACACACGGTTCCCATTTGTGTGTCGCAATAGCACCTCGCGTCCACCATGGGTCGCGGTTGCGGGGTAGGTTCTCCCATGCCATGTTCCGCCGCCTAACATCCTGCATATCTTCACACATGTTGTGCAGTATGACACAACACGCGGCCCCGGCGAGTATGCGCCACAACCTGCAGTCGTTGCGCTGGGCGAAGATGCGCCATCTCCCTTTGAAGGCGCCGATGCATCTCTCCACCGCCATGCGTGTGGCGCTCTGACAGTAGTTGAAACATTGTGCCCAGTCGTCCATGATGTCCTCTCCTCGTGGGGCATGCAGGGGTGTTAGGCAGTACTCCCGTAGAGGGTAGGCCGCGTCACCAACTATCTGGTATGGGGCTATGTCCCCGTTGTGTAACCTCTCAAGTAGTGCAGACTCTTTGAAAACCCGCATGTCGTGCGCGCTACCGGGATACCCAATCAGGTAGTCCCATATCCTCCCTCGTGCATCACATGTGAGCTGGAGTTGTACGGCATAGGCCGATTTCCTTGTCCAGTACTCTGCTCTGTGCCCTTCCATCCCCTTCATGTGTATATGAGTCCCGTCCACAGCACCCACTACAGCAGGTATACCCTTGACGGCAGCAAACTCGCGCGCCATCCCAGGAAGCTCTTCACGTGTGGGGAAGCGCACCCAGGCGGCCTTGAAGACGGAGGGGAACTCCGTCAGAAACACGTCGACCAGCTCGTGACAAAGCGTCTTTGAGATACCGAACAGGTATGACATGTCCACGAACGAAATACCGGACGCCAGGTACTTGATTGGGATAAGCACAGCGGTGTCCAAGGTGAGTATTGACCGGTTTACTATGGGCTCTAGGTAGTGTTGCAGCCCTGTCTTGATATGCTCCAGAATTGCGCGGTTTATCCTGAACAGATCCTGAAAGTCGTTCTCCCGCATGTGCTGCAGGTCTTCAACCCACAGACAGTGACGTCGCCTCCGTACCCTCGCTCTGTGACGGCGGTTCTCCCCGTAATCGTCCCCGAGCGATGAAGACTGCTCGTCCTCGTCCTCAAACACGCCCGACTCTATGAGGCCTACAAAGCTTTTCGCGACATTTTCGTGGAAGATGGTGTAGTAGTAGGTGACCCAGGCGACGAGTAGGCGTAGGATGAATGGGATGGTTCTAGGCTCTGCCATGTTGTGTGGATTTGGAGTCGGTAGTTTTTTAGCTTGTGTGTTGGATGTTTATAATTGCTCATTGTGTGTGACGGGAGATGCCACAATTACCGTTTCGGCAATTATTGGTAGCGCGGATGTGTTGTTTGTGTATCCGCGGTCTCCCCGTACAATTACATGCATCTTCCGCACAACAGGCGCGGGGGTGTTTGTGCTTCAGGGGTGGAAGTGTGCCAGGTTGGACGGTGACCAATCACAGGGGGTCGCAAATAATTGTCGCTTAACACAACAGGGTCGCAATACATCGGTCGATTGGGACATGCAGATTCGAGAAATGTGAGCGCGACTCGGCGGGAAGGGGATTGGGACACATCGATTGGGACACAAATCCACAGCGGAATGTACCCTAAGTTGGCTGGACACCCTCACAACTAATTCTTATGACAATACACGAACAAGCTGCAACGTAAGACAAAATATAAACAAAAAGCCTCTTCCTAGAGAAATGAGGCATGTCATACACACCACACTCACACCAATCGCACACGCATACACACAAACACACTGCCTAAATTGGTAGCCACGTATGTAAAACTTCAAAGTGCATGGCACGGCATGACATGCCATGGTGCTGGCGAGCAGCAGGGATCAGATCAGAGGAGGAGCTGGGAGAAGAATGACTAATGACTTTTGAGGCGCCTCAAAAGGAGAAGAATGACTTTTGAGTCGACTCAACAGTCACTGCGCGATCAGAGGAGGAGCTGGGAGAAGAATTGCTCAAACTCGCCATCAATGGTCAACGGCTTGCCTGCTCGGATAAGGCAATCTGCAACACAGCATGGGAAGAGAAGCACAGCGCATCAGTGAGAGATGGAGGGAGGAAGGATGGAGGGACGAGAGACGGAGGGAGGAGGGATGGAGGAGAGATGGAGGGAGGAGAGATGGAGAGAGGAGAGACAAAGAGCAGAAAGCTTGAGCAAAGAGAGATGTAGGGCTTGCCTGAGGAGAGAGATCGCCCGGAAGAGAGAACAAACTTGGGAGATTCCCAAGGGTCACCCATGGACTTGTCCTCGTCCCCACCCTCCTCCTCCTCCTCTTCCTCCTCCTCCTCCTCCTCCTCCTCCACTCCTCCAACCGAGTGCTGCCAGCGTGCAAAGTAATTTCGGCACTTCACACGTGCCTGCTCGGGCTGCTGCTGGCTGTGGTGGTGCTCCTGCAGGTGCAGCTGCTGCTCGTCCTGTGTGAACAACATCCTTCCCTTCTCTCTCCTCCTTGCTCGCTTCCCTGATGACTGCTGCTCTGCTCCGTCCTCTTCTCCCCTCCCTCCTCCTAACCACTCTCCTCCTCTTCCTCCCCACTCTTCTCCTGCTCCCCTTCTCCCTCTACCCTTCAAAGCCAGAGTGGGACAGGAGCTACCCTCATCACCCCCTCGCTCATGCCACTTGTGCTCGCCCCTTGACAGGGAGGCATCGCATTCAAGCGCCGCTGCAGCTGAGGCATCACGTGCACTCACTCCCACACATCCGCCCTCACGCACGCTCATGCACCCACCCACACTCTCCACACGCCCAGATGCTGCTACTGCTACTGCTGCCGCTGCTGCTGCCGCTGCTGCAGCAGCTATGGTAGCCCGATGGGGGGGTGAGGCGCCACGGCGAGGCAGAAAGAGGAAATCGGACGGTAATTGGGCCTTACTTGCACCAATCCTCGCATCCACTTCACCTGCTGCTGCAGCAGCTGCTGCTTGTGCAGGCTCAAATCTACCTGCGCCCCTATTGGCCTCTTCTCCTGCTGATCCATCTTCTTCTCTGCTATTAACATGTCCAACCAAGCTAATCTCCCCTCTCAGCGATTCTATATCGTCGCCTGGTCGTTTCACTATGCCTCTTATTCCACTGCCACTGCCACTGCCCCCGCCGCAGCGGCCTGTGCAGGCCGGGCCTGACCAGCCACAGCACGACCCACACGTGCTTTCGACCGCTGCTGTTGCTGCTCGATCCACCAATGCTGCTGCTCCTCCTCCTGTTGCTGCTGCTGCTGCGGCTGCTTCTGCAGGGGTTACTGTCTGCATTGCTGCTGCGGCTGAGACGCCGTCTGCATGCATCTGACTTGCTCTCTTGCCACCAGCCTCGCCGCTGCCACAGCTTCCCACGGCACTCCTGATTCGCCTGCTGCTGCCGCTGCCGCTGCTGCTGCAGTGGCTGTAGAAGCTGCGTCTGCTGCCCACCGCACCACGTGCCACCCCCACACCACCCTCAGGAGAAACTGCTACTGCCACTGGCGCTGCTGCCACTGAAACTACTGCCATTGCTGCTGCTGCTGCTGCTGATATTGGCGCTGCTGCAGCGGCGTAAGAAGCCTTGGAAGCCACGAGCAAGGGTGCTTTGACCTCTTCCATCCAACGCTCTCTCTGCTCCTGCTCCTCCTGTCCTTCCCCTTCCCCTTCCCCTCCCCCTCCCCCTCCCCCTCCCCCTCCCCCTCCCCCTTCCCCCTCCCCCTCCGCTCCCACTTCCCCTTCCCTCTCTTCCCCCAAATCACACTCCCCCCACGTGCCCCCCTTCTGTCCCCCCAGAGCACTCCCATCCTCTCCCCCCCTCTCCGCCTCGTCTTCCCCCCACATGCCTTCCGCATGGCCTTTCCCCGCGGAACCCCACTTCCCCTGCGCTCCCACCCTTTCAACTTCAACCCCCCCCGCTCCCCCTCCCCACGCCACCCGCTGGCGCTTGGAGAAAGGGGGAAGGTCCCAGGACGAGGGGAGGGTGGGGGATCTGCGGAAGGGGGTTTGGGGGAAGGACTGCGGAACTTGCTGCGCTATGTGGTGCGCCAGGGGCGATATGCGCTGGTTCTCAAACATGCCTCCCGCGGACGGCGGAATCGGCGCAAGAGGTGGCGCAAGTGGTGGTGCAAAGGGAGACGGCGGAAGGCGCGGCGGCGGAAGAAGAGCGGGAACAGAGGGGCGGGTTGCAGGGCGTTGTGGCTCGGGGGATCCTTGCGGGGGTGAGTGTAACGAGAGGGACGCGCAAGGAAGCGCCGATGCGGCCGCGAGTGTGCGGAAAGCGGCAGCGGGTGGGGGAAAGAACGCCGGTGGTTGTGGAGATGCTGACGTCAGACACGCTGAGTCATCCCAAACGGCCTCTGACGTCAGCTTCGACTGGTACACACTGCATAACGCGGGACAGGGGGGGGCGGCGGGGCGGGGTGGGGGAGGGGAAGGAAGGGCAAAGGAGTGCGGGGCGCGGAGGAATGGGATGCTAGACACATGGAGAGAGGAACTTGGAAAGGATACTCAGAAGAAGGTGATACAGGGAGAGATGATTCAAGAAAAACTGATTTGAGAAAAGCTGATTCAAGAAGTGGTGATTCAGCGCGCTAACCTCTTCCGCTTCCGCCCCGCGCCCTCATTCTCGCATCGCAGAACCCCCGCCGGCCCGGCATCTCGCCGGCCGGCGCCCGCGCTCCAATCTCCGCTCCTTCCGCCACTCCTTCCGCGCGACTGGCACAGCTCCGACTGCTGCTCCGCCGCGCTGCGCTCTCTCCGCTCCGCCCCCGCAGCCACGTCCCACGCTGCGCCATCCCCTCCCCCCGCCCCCCATAGCCCCGCGGGCGAAGGCTGCGCGGTATGGTCTGCCGCAAGGCGCTCGGCGGAAACAGCCGCGGGGAATGCGGCGTCCGCAGAGCCTGCAGCGGCGGTAGTGGCGGCTGGTACGGCTGCAGCTGCCGTTGCCGGTGCTAGCTGGTTCTGGCGTCGTTTTCTGACGAGGATTCGGCGAGCGGTGAGGGATTGTGGGGGTGGAGAGGGCTTGCGCGTGAGAGTATCCATGCACATGGCGCGCGGAAGAGCGCGCGGAGGAGGGCTAGGGGGGGGCGGGGGAAATCGTGCGGAGGAGGGTGCGGAAGAGAGCGGGGAGAAGCGCGTTTCTAGTGCGGGGAACAGTGGAGATGCAGTCAACAGAGCAGGTACGCGGATTAAGTCAACGAGCTTCGAACTTGGTTGACCAAGTCAAAACGCAGAATCTGAATCGCCTCAAGCGCGTTATGCGTGGCTGCGAGGAGAGGCTTCTACGGGTGACGGGAACTAACGGAAAAAACGCATGTACGAACTAACGGACGAACGGACGGATGAACGGACGGACGAACGAACAAACAAACGAACGAATGAACGAAGCCACATGTCGACAGCGTGGCCTTGCTTCCAGATTAAGTTGCACCCTACTTAATAATCACCATGAAATTGCGTCCTTCGCGTTGCGGTAACACTATGTGGGCGGGTGGGCATGTGAAGTCACAACAGTACACTATGCGCTGCGTTTGGTCGAGCCGAGGACTCGAAGGGCAGCAAGAATCTGGCCGCACGTCTGGTGAAAGCTAGGGTTTCGTTTCGTCATGTAGATGACCTGTTCGGTAATCTGTTTGGCATGGGTGCTGCTGCTGCTGTTTCTGCGGCTACTGCTCCTGCTGTCGCTGTCGCTGCTGCTGCTGCTGTTCTGCTTCTCCCCCTTGTCTCGCTCGAGTCTCGGCTCGACCTCGAGTCTTTCTCGTCTCGTTCGTGTAAACCCTCCCGCCCAATGCCCTAACCTAGGGATCTGTTTGATTCGCCCCGCTCCGAGCTGGGATGAGATTGAGTGGTGGAGGATGCGGCCTTGCCGCCAAATCGACGGCAAGGGCGAAGCAAAGCGAATGGTGGCACGTGCACACCGGAACAGATCGGATGTGGCTACTGTACAGTACACGCTGACGATCATTACCGCAGCGGTAACAGTGTGGGGGGCTTTTCTAAAAAATTATGTATTCTGTAGACATTCCAGAGTCACACACCTTACAACAAACATTGCTTGAATGTTCATATTTGTTATATTAGAGATTACTAGGGTAGGGAAACAAGACCTATAAAGGCATTATGGCAATCGAGCTAATTTAACGCAGGAGAGCTCGCTGAGAGGGAAATGGGGGCGTGGGAAAGATTAGCTGATGCATGTGGTGAATAGTGGCTTGGCCAGTATCAAAAGGGGAACTCAAAGCACGTCTGTAGAGTCGCAATCTCGCACCTCATCATGCTCCCCATTCCCACTGCCACTTCCGCCCGACAAACCAGCTGCAAAACCACAGTCATTCCCCCCAGCACCGACCCCAACCGCACCAGCATCAGCACCAACACCATCGTCAGCATCAACCGCCACGTCAGCCGAACCGCCAGCACCGACGACACCAACTCCAGCGTCAGAACCAAGGGCGTTGAAATTAGTGTGAGTGGCGACTGCAATCGGCTGGTTATACCCGTGCTTGCCCCAATAGGGGCAGAGATCAATGGGCACAGCACGCACATCCATGCCTTCTCCCTCCAGCCGCTGAGCCAACTTGAGAAACGCGGAGGCTGACATGCGGCGGCCGCACATGCGGTTGTGGCGGCGGGTGGGGTGGGGGGGAAGGGGGTACTGCGAGAGGGAGTTGGTGCAGCAGGCTGATTGCCAACCCCAGTGGCCGTTGCGGTGCACCTGGGGCAAAACAAGGTAGAGAAAACAGATGGGATGGGCAGTAAGTAGAGAAGGGACGAAAATGGAAGGGAAGGGATGTCGGAAGGCAAAGTTGAGATGAACAGACAGTGAAAATGGGAAAATGAGGAAGTCGGAGGGAGTCGCGCGAGGGAGAAGGAGCGGGCAATATATTTTGGAATAGTTGGCATATGATGAACACACCTGTCTAGGGTGACCCGTGCAGGAGCAATAGGGAATGGGGAACTTCATGAGTGCATGATTGCCAGAACTCGACTGCCCTGCTCCACTATTCTCCTGCCCAGCCGCACCCTTTCCCCCTCCTCCTTTCGCTCCACCCTCCTTTGCACCACCTTTCTTGCCTTTCTTCCCAGTCCCTGGTGTGGCTCCAGTACCAGCTCCTCCTGCTCCTCCTGCTGCCCCTGCTGCCCCTGCCGCCCCTGCTGCTCCTGCTTGCCAGGCTCCATCCCCCATTGCACCTGCGCCCTCCTGACCTGCCATTCCGCCACCAGCAGCACCAGCTGCACCCGCAGCCGCAGCAGCAGCAGCTTCAGCTGCCTCTCCTGTCGCTGCATCAGCCACTGCTTCTTGCCATTTGAAGCCCATCTGGGAAGCCTGCTGCTGTTGCTGCTGTTGCAGCGGCTGCTGCTGGCCCTCGTGTTTAAAGATCTCCAGACCTTTCAGCACCACTTGTCGGTGCAACCACGCTAGCTGTTCCTCCTCCCCATCGTGCTTGCCCTGCCCCTCCTTCCCCGGATCCCGCTCCGCCTTTCGCGGCCGCTTCATCCCATTAAGCGTCATGCCCGCCCTTTCCCGCAGGAAGTGCGACAACGGTACATCACTCTCCTCTTCGTCACCCCCCCCTCTTCCGTAATTGTAACCAGCGCGAGAATCTGTATCGTCGCCCTCATTACCCGCAACTATCATCGCCCCTTCCATACCCGCGTCCTCGTGCCCACCCCCCCATTGGTTCGTTTGCCTTGCCACGTGGTGCCCGAGCTTCCGCGCGTCGCCTATCATTCCGTCCATCCATTGGATAAGCGAGTCGCGCGTCGCCGCCGCCGTCGCCCGCTCCCCGACCGCGGCGTCGCGTTCCGCTTCGACTATATGCAGCCGCGCGACGGCGGCATCGCGCTCCGCGCGCGCGGCGTCGCGCTGCGCTGTAACGAGGATGAGCTCCGCTCGAAGAAGCTGCAGCGCAGCGGGAAGCGGTGAGACCTCTTGTTGTTGGTGCTGTTGCTGCTGCTGTTGATGTTGCTGCTGCTGCTGTTGCTGATGCTGCTGTTGCTGCTGCTGTTGTTGCTGCTGCTGTTGCTGCTGCTGTTGCTGCTGTTGCTGCTGCTGCTGTTGCTGCTGCAGCTGCAACTGCAACTGCTGCTGTTGCTGCTGTTGCTGCGACTGCGTTTGCTGCTGGTGATGTAGCAGCTGTGGCGACTGCAGAGGCTGAAATTGGTGTGGATGCTGATGGTGGGGCTGCTGCTGCTGCTGCTGTTGCTGCTGATTCAGATGGAACTGCAGCAGCTGATGTTGCTGCTGCTGATGCTGATGCTGCTGCTGCTGCTGATGTTGATGATGCTGTTGGTGCTGGTGGAGTTGATGTCGCAGCTGCAGCGGTAGCTGCAACGGCGACTGGCCGGTGTCGCCAGGAAAGAGGTGCGTAGGCATGGGAAGCAGATCGAGGACCCGCGCTACTAATAGCCACAGCCCTACGTAGTGTAACTACTATTGCGGAAATGAAAGGCGACACTTAATCGGAAAAATTTCAAGATTTCTTAGAAGAAGCGCGAGGACGATTGCACACCTTCATGCTTCTGAGAAAAAAACACAGCAGAAGAAATAGGTTTGCTACAGTCTCAATGAGAAACTTGAAAGCTCGGAACTACCTAGGTCTTTACCCTCAGCCATAATCGCATGCAAATGCCACATTAGGTCTTCTAAACATTTCAGCACTCAAATTGGCCGAGAACGTCCGAGCGTAGCGCGGTGGTAGGAGGGAACGACAGAGCAACCGTGCACCGTGTGGCGCAAGATCGATTCCACAGGTTTCAAGGGATTCAAGAGCGTGAATGAACGGTTCTTCTTCATTTTAAAGCGTTTGGGTATGGTTCCGATATGATATTGTATTTTCACGACACCCACTGACGTGGGGGCAAGTTGCTTGAGAACGGGAAGAGCCTAGCTGGCATCGAACCCTAACGGTCTCTACACTTAACTCTACACTTCCAACTAAAGTCTAGTAAGAAACATAAAACTGACGACTGTTGATAACGGGTATACATTTCGAGCTCCACTCTAGCTACTTCCGCCTCGTGATTGACAGAGAGTTCACCTATTGGATTGTTTCTCAACTGAATGCACGAGCTACAGAAAAATAGACTCACCAGCCCAGACTTCTACGCTGAGTTCGTCGTCACACAACAAATCCATGCCTCTGAAGTACTACTGCGATTTTTGCGACAAAAAGTTTGTCGATTCCCCCGCTGCTCGGAAGCGACACGTGAACGGCGCTTCGCACCAGCGCATCAGGAGGCAGTGGTACGCCACATTTGAGAGTAAGCGACGGATGATTTATGCCACAAAACGCATAGGCCTGTCAAGTTCCCCATTTCGCACGAGCTGTCTCGCCCGTCGGCTCTGCGGCTGAATGGTTATCCGCATGTTTGTGTTTCACGTTTTGACAATGTGATGCAACCGTTAAGCTACAGAGGCAAGTGAGGGACGCGACGTCTATGCCGGTGCAGATAGCAGAGTCAGAGACCAGAGGAAGAAGGAAGGGGAAAACCGGAAAGAACTGTGTGCTGAGCTGCTGAAAAGAGTAAGCAGTAGTATTTCTGCCTTGTCTTCTCTTCAAGTTTGTGCTGGCGCATTTTTACCCCCCAGCCCCCACATTTTCACAGCCTTTCCATGGTCTTGCAGGGCCTGTGCTCCCGCGGTAGCCACTGCCCTTTTGTCAGCTCCCATTCTGCCATGATAGCATCTGGTACAATGGCCACTGTTGAGTCGCCATATGCAAACGTAGATGACAGCAAGGCATCCTACATACCACCATCTTTATAAGATTTTCTCAACCGTTCAGAGACCATGATACCCCATTATTCAAGCAGCTCATACAGCTCATGTGAACATCCAGTTAAATGGGGATGAGAACGCCAACGTCAGGTTACTGGACAAGGAAGGAGCTGTAGTAATATTGTGTGGAGGTATTTGTCTATGTATGGGACATGTCAGAATGAATTGCATATGGTTGTCTGGATGACTGGATGTTCTCCTCTCCAGTAGGAGAGCTTATTTCCCAAACACAATGGCACCTTTCACTTGGCCCTAATAAATCATGTACCGTACTGCTGGCCATATGCAGAGTCACATATCTGGAGCATGCACTATGCAACCTCACTGCTAGATAACCGTGTGTAACCGCTCCTTCTAGCACTTCCACCAACTGATGATGTGTATGCATCTGGAACCACCAACACTTCTGACTCGTTCTGCATTTCCTTGTGCTCCTGAGATCCTCGCCCTGCAGCCGAGCTTCCTCTTCCAGCATGAGCAGCAGCAGCAGAGGCAGCAGAAGCCATAGCGGAGGCTGCTGCAACTGCTGCTGCAGCTGCAGCAACAAACGACGGCCGTCCCCCAGGCAACGAAGGGGAGAGCGGAGAGGGTGGATTAGATGCTGAAGGCGGAATAAGTGGGGTGGTGTAGGACGCAATAGTAGCAGCTGCAGCTGCGGCATCAGCAGCAGACGTGCGAATGGGTAAGCTTGAGATCCGCTTAGGTGAACTTCTCCTGTAAAGCATGTAGAGAAATACTTGTACAGCAGACAGCAGCAGACCGAGAAAGTTTGGCGCCTGCAACCAAATATACGTAAGACAGCAAAGCCATTATTAGCCGACCCGCCAAAACAATCACCCAGGGAAGAGGACAATATAAGCATGATTACCGCCACAAAGATGTCAGAGCTTGATGCTCCATAAGCGGTCCACACGATGGTATGGACAAGTGACACAGCACAGAGCTGGATAGGAAAGAACTCAACACTCCGTGTCTGAATCATTTGTGCCTGCAATGGGGTAAGGGACCGTATTCACACAGCTTTGATTAAAAGGCAACTTGCTGTAACGGTGAACGACAGAAAGGAAAATGGCTCATTTACCACTGCCGTCAAGGGAGCAGCAAAGGAAGCAGTGCTGGTGCAGTCCCCAGAAAGGCCAAAGACCAATGGTCTAGCAGGTGCTGGTATGACTGACACAGCCAGTGATGCCATCATGGCCGCACATAGCACAATGCTCGTGATAGTTGCACCAATAAATCTCTGCACGTGCAACAAACAGAAGAAATTAGTAAACAAGGTGAACAAGGCTGTGCTAGAACACAACAAAATAGGGACCCCGATACGACACATGGAGTCGGTCCCAGAGACTATTACCTTGTGTTCTGTGGAAAAGAGATAAAATATCAAACAGTACGATCCGTTGAACAGCAACCCCAGGATGCTTATGACAAACACACTGAACGCATTGGCCACCACTGGCGATCCGTAAATGGTCCAGACGAACGAGCTGAGCAGGCCGCATAAATAAGGAGCACTTGAGTGTTTGTCTGCAGAGCGCTTCTTGAAGATGTCAATGAAAGTTGGCCTGAAACCATGGAATCGTTAATACACATGATCAGATAACAAAGAGATTACTTCTTGGTGCCAAGAAAAACACCACACGACTGCTAAGACAAGTACTTGCTTACAATGGCGCAATATACAGAGAGAGACCCGTGATAGTTCCTGCAAGGCAAGGAAGAGAGAAGGCAAGGTTAAAAGAGGCCACACCGAGTAACGAAGGATGAACAGACTCAATATCCGTCACGCAAGTTGAGAGAAACTCACCTGCGATACCCAGCAGCGATTGAAAAGAGGGGGAATAGAACACGTCTGCGAATCCTGTATTTGAAGAACCTAGAGTCACCGAAGGCAGGGAGGCCATAGCTGCTGCGATAAAAGCTCCAACGTTCAGTGAACTAAGCGACTGGTAGCACTCAACAGCAAGAACAACTACGATTCAGACAGTCAAAAATAATAATGGTCGAGAATCTAGTCTAGCAGAGGCCAAACGCTTGTGTAGATTAGTAGCTTGCTGCTTTCCCTGATCGCCTTTGCCGCTAACATGGAGTGGGAGACGGGGTTGGATGAGACTGTTTGCAGCCTCAAAGAAACCAACTTTCCCGGAATCCCCTAGGAACTGAAGTGGGATTCCCAACAAGCAGGGTAAATACTGCACAAGAGAGAGCGGTGGTGGCTTCACTGAGCTGCCTGGTGTCGCCGCTAACACTGAAGGTCCAACAGAACAAGGCGTTTTGACAGAGCCTTCAACAGTGACGCCAGGCGATCTCGAGGGATACGCGTGGCACTGGTTTACGGCGCTTTCGCCACCCGAAACCGCCAAGCCAGCGGACACAGTGGTCCCTGCCACGCGTTCGGAGCTTGATGAACCTCTTTGAAGGCCCCGTGGAGCCGCCGCTGCAGACGCAGCCCCGCTGCGCTGGGGGCCAAGCTGGTTCCGGTCGCGCATCGTTGCGTTCTGCGTCAGCTGCCCAGTATGTGGGGTTGATCTGACCAGGCACAAGAATTTCTCGAGGCTGGCTGCGCTTTCCTCAGTGACGGGGCATGCAGGCTGCTAAGCGGCAAACGAGGGAATTTCCCTGAGAGAAATTAGACCGCGGCTGGACGGCCAAATTCGAACTTGTCACTGACAGGGAGTGGGGTGGATGTCACACGTGGACGGGTCAGATTTCGTTTGAGTTCTGGTGGGCTTGGCGTAAGTCGAATTTCGGCGGCGGCAAAACCGAGGGAGGGAGGTTGGTTGAGCTGAGAGACGAACTGCCCACCCCCCCCACCCGACCCCCCCCCACCTGCCAACAGTTCGTGGTGCTGAGTCCCAACCTTCTATAGCTGCTCTCCACTTGCCGGACAAGCAAGCCATGTCATATCAAGTTATACAAAAACAGAGTGTCAAAAGTCTAAGGTATTCAGTTGGAGTTTCATCAAGCTAGCTTTCACACAAAAGGATGGATGATTAGAAGAACGCATAACTGAAATATCATAATGTATATAGTGGAGAAACGTATGCGAATTGAGGTTCATATTAATCATGAAGCAGAAATAACATGAAATATTAAAATTGTCATTTTTGCAAGGCCTTGCTTATGGGCATAATGGTATCTGTTTTACAGTAGCATATTTTGTTATCAACCACTAAACTCCCCGCTATGGTATTTCTTTATCCCCGCTAAATCTCCGAGTTCGGGATTGTCTGTGCTGGGAATGTCGTTGCTAGGTGGACACGTGGCTGGTGGCCCGATTGGGCGCATTTGCGGAGGTCCGTCACCCCGCAAAACCCTCCCACAACCTTCCGGTTTAGCGTTTTTTTCCAGACACCCAGCCAGGCCCAGACCCACGAAACATTCCAAATCAACTAAACTCCCAAGGTGCCGTTTCAGATACTTTCATGTTTCAATTCGTGAAACACAATGCTCACTTCAGTTTCAGGAAAAGGTGACGGCAGGAAGTCTGGAGCGTGATTGCTTTCGTGTCTCCCTTGAAGGGGGTCCCTTCCCACTTCCCCTCGAGCAGTTTTCTGGGTGCCAGCCTGCATGGAAGAAGCGGGCTACACTACACACAGACTTGAAATGCTGCCCTGGTTTCTATCCCTTTTCGCTCGGGCCTACAAGACTCTTCGCATGTGACCCATTCATTGGCGGAGAGGACGCAAGAATAACGAATCCTTTGGGGGCAGCGATCAGTCGGTCATTGGTTCGAGTTACCAGACCAGACCAGAACCATTCAGATTCCGTAAGCGATTGCAAGCGGAAAAGTGCTGCTGCCGTCAACGTTTACGTCTGATACCGTAGATTCTCCGCATGCGCCTTGGAGTTTGCATGGTTTGTGGAAGGATGGGATCATGGGATGATCAGACATGACGTGACGAGGGGCATTCTCGTTGATGCCCTTCTCTTTTCCCATTGGTCAACCCTCATCGCCTCCACCCTTCGCTTTTGGTTCTCTCTGCCAGACTCTGCCTGTTCATATCATCTCTCCTCGCTTCTCTGTCGTCACCCTTCCTCTGAACAAGGAATTCCTTGATTTCGTTGCTAACGCTAAACCATCACAGACCAACGCAACGCAGCACACTCAACCTTGAGCGATCTGCACGCCACAGCGACAGTGAAGCACTACGGCGGTTAGGTATTGCGCCACTATATTCTCGTGTTTCTTTGACCAGCATTCGAACGGCAAATCCACTCATATATTTTTCCCCGTGAGCTTGTCCTATCAATTAATCGTGATCCGGCGCTATCCATCGGGCGTAATCATGCACGCAGCAGAACGAGAACTGGCCTCTTTTCCCTCAATAGCCGCATCAGAAGCAGTACCTAAAGCTATACCCTGGACAGACGACGCTGGAAATCCCCCTGGTGACGGTCGCAACCATAGTCTTCGTTCAACTTCGCCGGTTTCTCCGCCCCGTCCTGCTCCTCCAACGCTTCCTTCCTCCGCATCGCAGTCACCGTCTCCCCTTACCCGGCCTCTGCACCTCTCTCCGTCCAAGCAACAACACTCCTTTCCGGGCCTGCAAGCTTCGCGGGTTCAGCAGATGTCTCCTCTACCACCGATGCACCTTACACAAGGGGTACCGCCAGTGGCCGAACTGCAGCCGCAGCCGCAGCCGCAGCCGCAGCTGCAATCACTGGCACAGGCACAACCGCAGGCGGAGTCGCGGGCGCAGGCGCAGTCGCAACCATCGCAGTACCGATCACCACAGAAGGCCGCGCCGCAAGCTGCGGAGACTCAAGCTGCGCACAGCGCGGAGGATCATTTCGCTGCGCAACCCGCGGGTTCCGCCAAGCGCCAGCTGCTGCAGCAGCAGCAGCAGCAGCAGCAGCAGCAACATCAGCAATCCTTGCCCATCGTGGCTCCCTCCGTGCCGTCGTCCCATCACATGCCGCCGCCGCCGCCGTCCTCGCTGCAGCACCGCCCGCCCCTGCCGCACCACCTCCCTCCGCTCCCCGTTCCCCAATGGCGCGCAGGCCCCGGGGGAAAGGCCATGCTCTCCTCTTCTCTCTGGCCTCCTCACGCTCCCGCGGGCTCCTTTCCTCACCCCTTTGTTCCTAGAGATTACATCCATTCCGCGCCCCCTTTGGTTCACAGCTACCCTCCTCCAGACTGGGTTGCTGGCGGAGGTAACGACGCAATAGAGCGCGGGAGCGGGGGAGGCGGGGGAGGCGGGCGCAGGTACAAGCGGCGGTCGTCGCGGCAGTCGGCTCCGCCTGTTCCGCACCCGCTCGGCCTGGACTACGGAGGCCCGCCACCGCCACCGCGCGGGTCCCGAATGCGGCGGCCGGAGAAGCAGGCGCAGGCGCAGGCGCAGGCGCAGGCGCAGGGGCAGGCGCGTCAGCCACGTCAGCCGCGACAACCGGGGCAGCTCCGGCAGCAGCAGCAGCACAAGAAGATCTGGAAACGGCGGCGTGCGCCCGGGCCGGGTTTCGCTTCAGCCGCTGCGGCGGCGGCGGCGGAAGTCAACGGGTCGGCGGCGCCGCTCCCGCCACCGTCGCTGCCGTCTCCGGGAGACGCGGAGGGGATGTTGGAGGACGGGGAGTTCCGGCCGCCGCGTCTGCAGGAACTGAAACAGCGCAACCGCGTCGGAACGCGAAGGTTCTTCTCTAAGTTTCGACGCCGATATCCTCCGTCTTCCCAGCAACAGCAACAGCAGCAGCAACAGCAGCAGCAGTCGCATCACGGGTCCCATCAAATGCTTTCTTCTCCGAACCCCCTTTTCGCGATGCCCAGCGCTCCGCGCAACACAACGTCGTTCATCATGCAGGCGCGCGGAGGCGCAGGTCCGCTTACCCCCGCAGGCGCTGGCGCAAGCGGAGTTGGCGCCGGCGCTTCTCCCTCCCCCGCTACAACCCCGCGGCTGCTCCCCACCCCGCTGGCGTCGTCTTCCCCCGCGCCGTGGGGAGTGGGTTTGTCGAGTAGTCAGGACGGAGCAGGAGAAGGCGACATCCGCGAGTTCAGAGTAAATCCGTACGGATCTATGAACGGAGTAATTAGACTAAGGACGCCTGACGGAGAGGACGACGAGGACGGCGTTGGCGTCTTTGGCGGCGGCGGCGGCGGCGGCGGTAGCGGCGGAAGCGTGGGCGGAGCTGGTGGTTTTTTCCGCATGGGCGGCGGCGCGGACGGCGGGGACGACTCGGAGGGGAGCGCGGGGACGGTGGAGAAAGGGCCGTCGCGATCGACGGGCGGTTCGGGCGACTCGGAGGAGCAGGAGAACACGTCGACGAGCGAGAGCCACGGAGGCGGCGCCGCGGACGGCGAGGGAAGCAGCGGCGGCGGGGGGAGTGTCGGAAATGGCGCTGCTGGCAGCGGCGGAAGGGGAGGGGGAGCGGGAGAGGGAGGTGAAGGGGGAGGAGCGCGGGAAGTAGCAACCACTGGGGGCGGTGCAGCAGTGGGCGGGGCGGGGGCTGCGGGAGGGGGGGATGGGGGGGAGAGGAGGCTTGACTTGGGGCTGCAGCGATTTCAGATGCTCTACACTGGGGACACCGCGGGAGCCAATGGGATGATGCCACATCATCCGGTGATGGGCATGGCAGCGCGCGGATCCAGCGGGGATTCGTTCCTGCGAGCGCGGATAGACGAGCAGGAGACGCAGCTAGCGCAGCTGGAGGAGGAGAACCTGACGCTCAGAGAGGTAAGCAAAGCAGGCAGCAGCCAGCCATGCCGCCCAGGGATATGGTTGGGAAGAGGTGGACGTTCAGTTGTTTCCACCCGTCCCCCTTTTCATTAACTTCTCTCTGTGTTGCTCTGTACCTATGCTCAAGTGCCGCTCCTGCTTATCTCGAACCTCATCCAATTCTATGAAAAATATTTCTAATTCCTGCCGTTCTCCTCTCCCCAATCCACCCACCCTCTTCGTCTCTCTCCGCTCTCTCCCCACCCGCCCTCTCTCCTGTGTGCAGCGGCTGTACGTGGCGGAGCAGGAGGTGAAGGAGCTGCGGCGGCGCCTGGGCGAAGGGTCCGACGAGATGGTGGAGATGGGCGGTGACAACAGCGACGACGAGGCCTCCTGCGCTGCTGCCGCACATCCTGCTGCCGTGTTATGATGATCCCTCTGCACTCTGGCTCATGATGATCCCTCTGCACTCTGGCTCTTCCGGCGCCTCCGTGCGCCTCTCCGTTCAATCTTCAATGGCGGCCCGGTTTCCGTCTGTTCACGTTTTTTCGCCCTCATTACAGTGGGAGTGGAGTGGAGGAGTGGGGGTGGGTGTGGGTGTGGGAGTGATGGGTTTGGGAGTGGGCGTGGTAGTAGGTGTGGGTGTTGGTTTGGGAGTGGAAATGGCTGAATGGAAGTTCGTGCAGGATTAGGGGTAGAGCAGAGCCTGGTGATGGTGGTGGTGGTGGAGGGACAAGCAGCACACAAGCAGCAGTGGCATCAGCAGCCAGTGCAGTTGCTGCACCTGAAGCTGGGCATGGTGGTGGTGCTGGCAGCGTTACAAGGCAACACTTCATTGTGTGGGTGGCATGGCACGCTCTGTCTGTAGCGCGTCTGCTCCTCCTGTTCATACTTCCTTCCGTACCAGTAGTTCAGCTACTCCTCCTGCCTGCCCTACCCTGTACTTCTCTCCTTCTCTCCCTTGCATTCTCCATTTTCCATCCACACATGCGAGCAAACCCACTCTGCTGCATGTATCCCAGCTCCCAGCTCATGCTGCACTCCTGCTCCACACCACCACGCTGTATACCTGTGACCACAGGGCCTGCCTTCCTGACCCAGGGCTTGGGCCTCAGGCCCTCCAGCCACTGTGCGTGTGCCTGCTGTGGCTGCTGTGGCTGCCGTGGCGGCTTGTGGTCGTGGCTGTCAGTGTCCAAGAGACAGGGGCAGCTGGTGAGACCATCTAGCCTCTCCTCTCCACCGTTCATTCCCTCCATACCATCCTCTTCTTTCCCTCCTGGACTCTCGTCCTTTCTCCTCCGGTTTTCTCCCCACTGCATTCGGCCAGTGTGTGTGTGGTGTGTGGTTGTATCTTCCCATACCTATATGCTCCACGGGTCATTGTCATGGCACTTCATGCCTCCATGCCTCCGTGCTGTCATGCTGCCATGCCATGACGATTCGGCCCTGTGCAGGCAGCAGATGCACTCTCGGTGCACTCGCCCGGTGTGCTTTCCCTGTCCATCTGTGACTGTGACACTCCTCCTTTTACCTGGGGTCTTGTGCTCCGGCCGGCTGGATTCTGACTTTGCAGTACCAGTGCCGCCCACTAGTTGCTGTCCAACTGTAGCTCCTGCTTCTGTGCTATGCTTCTGTTTTACTAGTAGGTTGCAGGTTCCCACGTAGCATGATGTGTGAAGATGATGTTGTTTAGTAGTCTCAGGGTACATTCCTGGCTCGTGTCATACTTCCGGTCTTCCGGGGATGACACGAAGCTGGCCCACAGTTGGCCCCACTTTGTGTCATCCGAGACCCACTTCGGGTCTTCCGGCTAAATTTTGCCCCTGGTCTCGGAAAACACGAAGTTTGACCGGAAGTTTGACACGAGCCAAGAATGTACCCTCAGAGTATCTTGCAGCATTTCATTTCATTCGCACTTGACGCTTGTTGGTAGAAAATCCAGGCATCCAATTTCAACCTATGTGGTGATGAGAGCAACTTAGGGTGCGTTCCTATCCCGTGTCAGACATCATGTCAAAGCTTCGGAAGACACAAAGTAACTCAGTTTGTGTCTTCCGAACCTAAATTTGCTAGCATTCCGAGTCCCTTTGGGTCTTCCCAACCTCAACTTCGTGTCTGGCTTCGTGTCTGACACGGGATAGAAACGCGCCCCTACACTACACCCCGCACTACTGCCAAGGGTCTCAATGGTCAACCTGGGAAAAGTGCTTGCAGTAGTGTTTTCTGTTGCAGGTGCACATGAGGAAACTGTTTGCTGACATAAAATTTTTATACTTGCAGATATAGTACAACCAAAGGTCAGCCCACCTCAGCTCACCACAGCCCACCAGAAGTTCAAAAGGACAGCAATAGAAAACAGCCCACCAAAAAGGAAAGTAAAACACAAAACGTACAGAATCTACAGCAAAGCAGTGTACCAAACCCAGCCTTATACAGCGTCACACTCTGCACCTTCGGCTGCAAACCCACGGCGCGTCGTCCTTTCATAACCACCATCGTTCTGAACCGCTCCTCACCTCCGCTCACCAGCGCGCCTAGATTCCATAATCAGCAACATGGCTGAGCTCCTTCGCGCGCGCGAACGTGGTGTGAGCGCAGTCCACGGCGAGCACAGAGCTGCTCTCGTACGACCGCGGCGTACCGTCCAGAAACCCCTTGCCGCTCTCCCCATCCGCGGAGATTGGGTGGTGCAGCGACGTGATCAGCTTCTGAAAATCCGCAGCGCGGCGCGAGTGGTCGTCACGGTAGGTCTGCCCCAAGACGCCATGGATTTCCTCCGTATGTTCAAGCTCCACGATCCCGACGTTGATGTGCGCCTCGGCGTCGGTCGGGGTCTGGAGTTTCGGGTTCGCGACGCGCAGACGCAGGTCCAGAGAGACGAGTCCGTCGATTGAGAGCGTGTAGTAATCCACGTCGTAAGGGCCCTCCTGCTCGAGATCCTTGAACGTGATAGTGAGTCCGCCTGCAGCGGAGACGGAGTCGCCGAGCGCCATGCGCGGGATGGGGGACCCGTCAATCTCGATGGTCTTCATGAAGCCCTCGCCGCGCTCCTGCTGCTTGCCGCTGCGCGCCGCCAGCCGCACCTTGTGGGTCGCACCATTTGCAGTCCACACAATGCCGACCTCCCTGTGTGGACATGACATCGTTATTAAAGAAATTAGGGGAATCATAGGGAAGAGAAGAGGTTAGACAACTGGGAAACACAATTGGGGACCATCATCATGGCGGAAAAAAAAAAGGTGCTAATGGCAAGTTCGCGTACTTGATCCACGTGTGCACAGCCTTGCCGTCGACCACCAGCGTGGCGCCCTCAGTGCGTTCGTCGTAGTACCCGCGCAGCAGCATGTTCACGTGCAGGTCGCGGTCCGTGAGAAGGCAGAAGGAGCGGTCCGGGCGGCCGTTGAAGTCGAAGTGCGTGCCGTGCGCGCCCACCAGATGAGGGTCGTTCAGGATCCCGGGCGCGCCGTTGCATTCGCCACCAGTGCGCACCTGCAGAGGAGTAACGCCACGGTGAATAAAAAGACGCTTGCGTGCGGGAAGGGAGGTCAATGCGGCGGAGGGACCGACGGACGGACCTGCAGGTGAACGGGCTTGGTCTCCGTGGCGTACTGCGCGATGATCTGCCCGCACGTGTAGTCGATCTCGTCGTGCACCAGGAAGCACGCTCCCGGGGTCCTGCCACGCGCAATGCACAACAAACACGCCGTCGTGAGAGACTTAGACGAAAGGTTTCAGGCCGTCACGGAGACTCCCTCAGGTCGTGATAGTACTAGGGCTCGTGCGAGCACACTCACTTGGTGCCGTCGATGGTGATGTCGGGGATGAACTGCCAGTACGTGCAGCGCGGCGTGGCGGCGCACGTGTTGCAGCACGTCTGCGGGGACGCCTTCTTGACAGTCAGGGGATTTCCCTTCACGTATATCTCCACTCCCAGCTTGTGTTTCAGCAAGTTCGACGTCTTCCACTTGGCGGGAATCCCGCCCTTGCTGCAGTTCGCGGGAGTGCACGCGCCCTGTCCGGGCACCGGGAGATGCGGGGGGCACTTCATGCGGTTCCACCCGGCCTTCTTCACATCGGGAATGGCGAGCGAATCCTGCTTCACGTCTACGAACGTCGCGCCCGCGTCTTCCTGCGCGAGGACGGCCTTGGGAACGTCCGCGCGGAAGCCGTCGTCCACCTCGCCTTGCCCGTCGGGCTTGGGGTTGTTCACGACACTCGTGATAGATCCCGCGGATTTTCCCACCTTGGGAGGGCCGTCAGATCCGCCGTCGGAGGAGGAGGAGGAGGATGAGCCGTCGGCGCGGGACACGGGGATGTTGATGGAGACGGCGAGGACGAGCAGGAGGACGGAGCAGATGACGGAGCGCATGCCATTGCGCCTGCTGCCGATGGTGCAAGCCATATTCTCTCGGTTGGATGTGTTCGAGGAGCGGATTAGAGAGCTTGGAGGATGAGCTTCGGAAGACTGTCTAAAATTGATGCAATGGTATACTTGTAGGGTCGCGTTTGGCTCTGGAAAAAAGGTGAATCTCACTCCTCAAGAAAAGTAATTATTTTGGAATGCTGATTATCACTGAATGACTGAGAGTTACGTCAATGCGGAATCTATTATATAGCTGGTATGACTTCCATGGGCGCGGCGGCGACAGCGAGCCTAGTCAGAGATTCACACTCGATGTGAGAATGTGGTTATCGAGAACGGCCGTTTCCCAGTGAGGCAATGGTCGGCAGGTTGGTTTCAGGTGGCAAGCTAGATCTAGCCTTGCGGGGAGCAGCAGCAGACAAATTCAGCAAAATGCATCATTGCAAGCACTGCAGTGCAGGCTTTTATTAATGTTATCTCGCGATTTAGCACGATGCAGACAGTTTGGTGTCAAACAACGAGGAGTGAAACATGGAAATTCCACCTTCCAAGAATTGGGGTCGCGACTCGACAGAATTTCAGGCGACTACGCAAATGCATGGCAAGAATTAGCCAATCACAATAGAGACCAGAGGGGCTTGGTGTGTATGGTCGGCGATACCGCGACAGCCAGCGTTACACGAGAAGCCCTGAGCATGGGGTGGGGGAAGTGTTTGACGAACGGCTGCGAGACGGTTACATGTGGTTATCGCAATTTCTGCAATGTCTAACGCCCTTCCTAAGGAGAACCGCTCAGTGTAGCTTGAAATGTTTTAACGAGTTTGGATGTAGAACAGGATATGAATGCATGCAATGTATGTGAAGATAAATGATTTCATCTGCTTTTAGAGGTAGAAAAATGGTGTAAAACAAATAAATGCACACGTTTCCTGTTATGAATGTTTAAAAAGTTATAATTACAATTTCGGTATCATTATCTGCTCATACTAATTCTCGTTCCTCGGTATTATTCTACTAGTCACCTTAAACAAATATATATTTTAATACTTTAATAAAACCCATCCCAT